AAACAACAACATAAGACAACACAGTATATAAATTTGCTAAATTCCCATTGCGCATGTATATCGGTTAATGATAATTAATTAATCACTTTCCTGCTCTTATCCAAATTATTTAAGAATAATATATTTTCCCTCTTCAATTTCTTCTCTATTTAGTCATTATTGCATTCACTCCCATTCTGGCCATCCTCTTTCACACAGTCAATCACACAGGCAAAAAATTTCTTTAATCATTAATAAAGATTTTTTTGGAATTTTAAAGTAATATTAACTCAAGCACATGTACATCTTACCAAAAAAAAAAATTCGTTTTCTTATTTAATTGTCTTAACCTTAGGTTAATTTATTTATTAACTATTATCTCAAGTATATATCAATATTGATATACATTACTTTTGGTTAAAATCTTAAACCAAAAGCAATATTTTCTTGTTTAATTTTCAAAATTATAAATATTATAAAGTTAAATAATCGCTTATTTCATTTATATTAAATAAAAGTAAGTTCAAGTAAATCGAACTAGATGTCGCTGTATTTGACGGATTCTTAGTAACAATAAAATATATATGTCGTTTTATTTCTATGAGTATTTTAGAAGTATTAAATACTTACAAATGATTTATAAAAATAAAAGTGTATAAATGTAATATAAAAAAGTATAAATATTCTTTCAATGGACAATTTAATAATATAAATATAAGTTTTAATATATAAATAGACACTTGACATTCCTCAGAACACAGATCAGTTCCTTAATCTCTAAAACAACGCCTATAGACTACACGTTTGCCCTATTTATGGAACCCAGCGACTGGAGCACGAAAGCTGCTGCTGTTAGGGTAACGCCATATGATTATAATTAAATCCGAACTAAAAAAACCGCAGCAAAAAAATCACCTTGGCATCTCCCATCAACATCTTCATGGCCAGGATAATCTCTCCATTACCTCATATAACATAACAACACCACTCCGTCTTTTAAACCGTCACCATCAAAATTAAATTAATAAATTCCTTTAGGTACCCCATTTTCATCTGTCCATAGCCTAGACATAGCTAGCATAGACATAGCCATGTCATATATAAAATATAATAATTATTTATTTAATTATATCAATCACTCCAATATTTAATTTCGTTCTACCAACTCCCACCGTATCCAATTTTTTTATATTGAATGCTAATGGAATGGTAACTCTGCCTACGTTATCGGTTTCTGCTGGCGGGGCTCCAGTGAGGGATGATAGATGAGAATGAAGCAGGTTAGTTGGCCCATCGTGATGAATTTATTAATAATTAACTACGATGATTTTCAAGGGAAACTACGTAGAGATCAACCTGTTGATGTATTTCTTGTAATGGGCCTGTTAAATTTCATTATTAAAAATCCCTTTCCTACACCGTATTCAATTGTTACCATTACCTCTATACATTTACTCTTGACTCTGTCTCCTATATTTTGCATTGACCCTTCACCCATATCCAATAACCAAGACGGGTTGCTCTGCCATTTATGCAATCCACAACTACTAAAAAACTATAACGCATTAATGAAATTAGAAACGCCTGGTAATTACGGTACATTATGAAATAAGAGGTGCCTACTATGAATTAACGATACTAAATGTTAAGGCGCTTCTCGATTTCCTAATACGTAAATAAAATTCGTAATAACAAAATTTTTTATTTTAGATATGTATGTTTATTTAGCAATTACACATACATATCTTAAGTATACATAAATAAAATAAAAAAGCGCAGAATACGAAAATATTTATAAATAAGTAAATAAACACTTTTGTATCGGGGGGAAAGGGATTGTTAGTATTGAAGACTGAGAATCCTATTGCTAGCAATATACCCAACCAGGTCGACCTCCTCGCGGTTCTCCTTGGAAACTATCATGGTTAATTCCTGATGAATTCATCATGATGGGTTGTTTTTTTCATTGTGTGTGTACATTATATAGATACACATATACATCATCATCATCTTCCTACCCTTATCCCAATCATTTGGGGTCGCCGTAATATGATTTTATCCATATTACAAAAAGATTTAGTTTTTAGTTTTACGACCGGCCACCTGCCTGACGTCAACCCTCTTTGGGAATGCATTTGTTGGTGGTTTCCGCCACCTACGGTATTGTGGAAAGGATTGAGGAAAAAAGGAAGGGAACATTGGAAATGCGTAAAGGAAATTGGTGAATGAGAGGAATAAGGGACTTATGTGGGAAAGGAAAGGGGGGGGGGGGGGACACTGCAGTTGCGGAAAGGACTGGGACACTGCAGCGGCTCGGGAGGCCGGGGTCGCATACCCGTATGCCCTTATTCTAGAATCGGACAGATTTCTAAAGAAAAACACCCCTGACGCATAGATACACATATACATACACTATATATACACTTTTTTACTCTTCCTTTTTACAAAATGTAACTTATACCGATTTAAATATCTTGACAGTCACAGAATGTACAGTGGCGTAGTACACCCCATGCGTTCCTATTTCTGAGAAAGTAACAGTTAACTCATACAAACTAAGTTTTATATAATATACTTATATATTCTTCTAATAACCAGACAAAGGTTTTGTACAAAAGTTTTTTTATACAACTTAGAATGGCAAAGATACTGATGGCCCACCTCTTGGAAAGTTGTTACTGTCGCCTACAGACATGAGAAGTACCACGGACATAACAGAGTATACTATTTCGCTCATGATACATCCATGCGTTACCATTCCTGAGGACTCAGGTGTTAGTTGCCTGCATGCTTTAGCTATGATAGTAAAGTGACATTATATTCCTCAGAAATTCTAACATGAGGGATGTTATGGGCGCCAAAATATATTTTATATTGTCAACGGTGCTGCTCATATTAACAGATGACTATTGCTACTATTAATCAGGAGGAAGGCGTTAGCTTATTTACTTTTTTCAATAAAAGTATAATTTGTATACTAACCTTGAATATGGATTTAGTAAGAAAGGAAAATAAACGGTGGCTATAAAAAAAAGAGTGACTGTTGGAAATATAGTAAGTGACGTAGGACACTAGACTAATGTAAACTGCATTATAAATTAGAATACCCTCTATGAAAAACTTTTATAGAAATGTTTTAATTAGTATCCTGCGCCTGTATTGATTAAGTTATTTCAGAAGACATTCAACGGGCTACAAACAAAATTGCTATTTACTTCAAATCAGGCAGTAAAAAAAATATTCGTAAAACCAATGTAAGTAATACTATTCTTACAATTTTACAATAAAAGCACATAAATGAAATATTTTTATCTCTAATGCTCATTTCAATCATTTTTAGTATTATATATATATATATATATATATATATATATATATATATATATATATATATATATATATATATATATATATATATATATATATATATATATATATATATTTATATTTACTATTGGTTTATCTTATAATCTTCATAATCCAAAATAAATCAAATCAAGTTCGCCAGTTATACAAGAAGATAATGCTTTTGCTAATATATAATTAAATATCTATTAATTCTTAATCTATTTTAATTTACTAATTCTTAATGTATTTACAAAAATAATGGTTTTTGTTTAAATTATCAACTTAAACCTTACTAACCTAAAATCCCACCATTCGGCAGGTTTATACCTGCATAAATAATACCTACATACCAAGTAGCAAATGAAGGGGCAAAGAATGCCCAAATAGGGCTAAAACCTTATTGTAGCATATCACAAAGCTCAGACATCTCAAAGTTGAAAGCTTAGAATCAGTAAACAATAGCTGTCGTCTATTGCCAGGATTAAATCACTCAAAAGCTCTGATTAAGGGTTTTCAGAAAATTATTCTAAGAAATTAATTCTTTTGAGTAAAAATAATATGTGCGTATTAACAAGGGCTTTCACAGGACACTGCAAACTAAATAAGCATATGACCCAACTAGGCTTATGCCCAAAAAATATTTGCAGACTGTCACAGTAAGGAAAAAACGTCTATCGTGAAAAGATAAAAAACGTCGCTATAAATACATCTTAAAATTCCTATCATTGACAGGAATTAGCAGCGAACTTTAAAAAAAAGGCCGACCACAAAGGATCATGGAAGAGACGCAGTGTCACAGGTTATTCTGCCTGAATAAGCCCATCTTTTAACAATAGTAACAAACGCCTTTATTTCCGTATAGGCAAAAATTTTAGATAGGCACTTGGCCTTTTCACATATATAAGTATACTAAAACTCACAAGACCGAATTTGTGCACATATCACACAGAAAGTAGCGGTAGTTATATATATATATATATATATATATATAGTATCTAGTATGAAAATAGATTGTAAAATATATTTCACTCCACTAGATGATTTAATAACTTAACTATATCAACCATATACTATGTGTACATACATTTTTGAGTATCTCATCTCATATTTCGAGCTGACCCGTCACCCGTATCGAATAGCGAGGTCCGTCCTCGATTTACTCGACCCAGAACTATTAAAAAAACCACTAGGTGATTAGGGTGTCTCTATCTTTAATTTATATGGAAGAACAGCGTTTGCCGGGTTTATTTTTGTAACATTGTTTTATAGTGATAACCTAGTACATGCTTTCGGGGGGAACGGAATTCTTAAGTATGAGATTTAACAACTCCATTGCTAGCAATACACCCTATATTATATTATATATTATTAGGTTGACCTCCACGCGGTTCTCCCTGGAAACCGTAGTGGTTAATTCTTATTCAATTGGTCACTATGAGCCAACTCACCTGCTTTCATCCTAGCCTGTCACACTTCACTAGTACCCCACTAGCATATACCGATAGCGCATGCGGGGTTACCATTCCATCTCCACTCATTAAAAAAAAGTACATGCTACTATATCTAGGTTACCTTTTACTACTGTAAAATGTTTGGTTATAATGGAATATCACAAAACAAAATTATGTAGGTTATTTCATGAGTAGGTGAAGGAAAAGAAATAAAAGGCCATATTGTGGATCCACTTTCACAGTTTATTTACAATAAACTTAATTCTATAATGCTGGTAAAAATATAACTAACAAACATAACAGTTTTATTAAGACAAAGATTTGTCGCATTCGAATCATAATAATCTTTGGCCGATGTCGTCGTGGCAGTAAATCATAGTATTGTAATTGTTATTATTTATTATTATTTAAACACAATATTTGTCGATGTACGCCTAACAATTCAACACAATTTAATGCAATGATATCTTACATATTTTCCTCTGTACAATCGACCCGTTCAATATAAAACCCCATGCGGTAAAAAATAATAACATAAAGAAAAAAGATAATATATTTGATATGTAGAAAAAAGATTTTTTTAAGAGAGCATTTTTAACGGTAAATTTTCTAACCAAGAGACACAAATTTTGTTGGCAATGTTTTTTCTTCTGCTGGTGGGTGAGCCGCCAGATACTCCAAAGCACGCAGAATAGCAGGTGGGACTGGAGGAGGCGTCGGCAGGATGTCACTCTAAAACAAACATTATCAGTTTAATTAAATATACTTACATATTCCTGAACTTACAAACTTTATTTTAATTTTCAAAGAACGTTACAAAGAACTCAATTTGAATTTTTTTTATGATTAAACACTTGGCGATTTTATATATAAATATTATTAAAATATGAAAATCATATTTTAATTATATTTATGCGGGTTTAAATCCCATACACTTCGAAATTCTTTAATCACTTAATAATTTTATTTTTTGAAATAACGTCCAATTTACATGAAAAAGTTTGCTGAAAGAAATCTCTTATTAGAGATAAGTTCGCCTTTGTACATTATGTTCAAAATGAATTGTGGTTAACATTATATTTTGTGCACAATAAAGAATAAAGATAATGATAAAGATAATTATTAGAATGTGATTATCATATTTATTTATATTTCTAACTCAATTTAATGTATTCTATTATTCTAAATTTTATAATTATATAGATGTATGGACACAGTAGCTAATAAATATAAATAATGAGTTAACTTTACATTAGGTTGATATCCGTTTTCATCAGCGACATACTCCACATTTACTGGTGTACCATCAGGAGCCACGTAGTGGTAGGAGCCTTGGGAAACCTGTCAAAAATAACATTAGTTTTTATTTTGATATAGATAAATAAAGTCTCGTTGATTGGTTTACCCATAAGAGAGATGTCTTCCATTCAATGTTTCAAATATTTAGTTATTACATATTATTTCAATAATTATATTTTCACAAATGCACATAGTATTACCAAAATATATTAGAACAATAAGTCGGGTATATACTCATTTCATTCTAAGTAACACTACGCAAACTCTGCCATAGGTATTACGGATTTTCCTTCTCTTGTTTATTCTATAATTATAAGTAAGTTATCATTCCCGCCAGCATTCCCATCCTAATGAACTCACTTAACAGTCATTATGTTTAGTATGCAGCAGCTATACAACCTTTGGCAATAAGCAAAGGTCGCTTGCATTTAAAATATTCGTAATATATAAACTATTACTAATCTTCTAGTCTAATATTATGACTTCACGAATATAGGGAGACATATTAAACAGCTGGAAATACCGGTATGTATGTAATAAATTACAATTTAAAATATTTGCATTATACTGTAAATGCATTATACTATAAATTTAATGAATTTAATATTGTTGCTGGATTACAGTATAATATATACTTTTAAATACTTTTCTATTAAAATAATGTAATGGTGAGATTCATAATTCAAGAATATCGTATAAGACTCTCAATGATGACTTATGGATGTTTTATGCTCTTCAATCTTCAAAATTAGAATATCGAAGTCGAAAGAAAAATATTGTTTTCTTGAAAATAATACTTACCAGAGCATCAATATTGTCTACGTTCTTTAAAGTACCGACGGCAGAAGCTGAAATTCCGTTTCCTGTTTCATATCTGAAATCGTCAATAATTTTATTTAATGGCTATGCTCGCAAAAAGTTCATTAATCACTATAATTTTATATATATATATATATATATATATATATATATATATATATATATATATATATATATATATATATATATATATATATATATATATATATATATATATATATATATATATATATATGATTACCCAAAACTACCTTTATCATTACACAGCCCACCCGATGTTTCAAAAAATGATAAACAAATTATATATAAAAGACAAGAAAAATGTTATATTTTTTTTATAATTAATAATTATAATCTGTTACATATTTAAAAATAATAACTTCAGTACAAGTAAATAAGTACACAAAACATTGTATCAAATCAATTAAAAAAACAAGAAATCACAGGGAAACTTTGTACAAAAGTCATGGGCATAGCCGTATGGTTCCGGTATAGAATAGATCTTTTCCTATGGGTATCATAAGAGGCGACTGAAGGAGGATGCGGGATGGGCAACAGCGTCCCTCTTAAAACATCTCCAAAGCCTAACTGCCGTTGCCAATCCGCCTGCCAAGTGTGGCAACTACTGGCAATACCCTCAGGCGGGAAGCTTATGTTCAGCAGTGGACAGTTAAAAAGTGTTTGACAACCACAGTTAGAATTTTGACAATATTTTAAGAGGGACGCTGCTGCCCGTCCCTCGACCACTAAATTTTCTTAGTCCCCTCTTACGACACCCACGGAAAAGGAATTCTTGATTTGTTCTATGCCAGGACTATACACAGCATAACACCATAGTCCTCAATAATAGCAACGCATGAGAGATACCATGGATATGATTATATCTATAGAAATGATTATTTTAGTTTATTTACCATTCTAAGATTAATAAAAAAAATACTTGCGCGTAATCATATCCATCAGGTTTCACGTCGATATCCGATCTTAATACTGGTGCATCCACGTCACTACCTGAACTCTTGACAGGAGATGATGGTGGAGCATGGGTTACTTTAGCAGGCTGTATTGGTTGGTATGCAGCCGCGGCAAAACAGATACACGTAGTTAAAACCTATAATATAAAAAAAGGAATATTATTATATCTATTTTTTATTTAATATTGTTAAATTGTTTTTTTGTGTTGTGTTTAGACCATTTCTACTTTATAATTTATTATGAATAAATGATAGTAATATACAATTGAAATGAAAATTTATAATAATATCATTAAACTTACGAAAAACCTCATAGTGATGAAGTCGTATCTCGTGAGTGGTGAGCAACAACGAGTGTGACAACATTCAAGTGTATCCTTTTTATATAAGTTTTAAAAATAAAAAAAGAATCTTTGTTTTAAAGGGTACTGACATGAGAGTGACCTTGCCAAAAGTTTAACCGCGCTTCATTGGTCATTTGCGCGTTATATTAAATTCCATAATTCTTACTTTTATTTTTCTAATAGACATATATTCGAATCGACTTTATTTTAGATAGTCAGGTTACTTTTTTTTATACAACTTAATGGCTAACAAGCTGACGGCCCACCTGATGGAAAGTGGTAACCGTCGCCTATAAACATGAGCAGTACCATGGACATAACAGAGTATACTGTTTCGCCCATGAGTAAGTTTAAAGTTATGATTTCAGGTTTATGACTATAATTATTATTATACTAGTTAAAGTCCACTACTTTCACTGATATAAAGAATTAACTTTTGTAGCCTCTCTTTCCTTCGTGACATAAATTTTCTTTGCATCATCAAGTGTGTATTATAGTGAAAAATATTATGTTTTAGAAATTTTTGGAAAGTTTAGAACTTTCCTACGATGAATCGCTATACTAATTCAAAGAAATGCCTTTGCTAAATGCAGCAATTAACATAATAACAATAGAAATTGGGCTATTTACCGATGCTTATAAATTATTTACAGGAATCTGTGTTACAACAAAAGAAAGCGATGTAATAGAAAATGGAGACCTCTTCTTTATCATTTTGAAAAAATATTATCTATTTCTTCATGTACTCTAAATATAATTTTTAATGTATTACGGTTTTGAATACATTACCATTTTGCTTCATGTCCCAAATACGATAGTGTATTTATCTAATCAAGTAATTCTTTACACGTACCTACATTATAATAATATGGCACAGACAAACACTTTTGATATTCAAAGAACGAGTCTAAAATTTTGTTGTCTAATAATAATTATAAACTTAAAATGTGACTCTATTTTCTCACTATCTTTGTTGTAATTCCAGGAAAAAAACCGTGATATAGAAATAGGTCTATATGAATTGAAAAAAAGATATCATACACTAATCTTGATTTGAAGAACTTCTGCGTCTTTAATTAAAATGTCAACACCGTTCAACGTGCATTCGTTACCAAGGTTTTGTGAATTATTCATTTTACTTCAACTAGTTAAAATTCTTTATCCATATTATGTATCCGGCATAAAAAAAAACAGTATCATAAAAATTAATAAGTGCCTAATAATTAGTATTTATTATTTGGCCCACATATTATCAATATATATATTATAATTTCGCTAAATATGGACAGATGTATGACATAACTATTTATAGATAGAATTTATATCAAATTATTCGCATAGGCTCTTCTATCTCATTCATATTTCTACCACCTTTGATGTTTATCTATGCTCACATAGCTATTTCGATTTGAATGATAAGAAAAGACAATTAAATTATTAGATACGAAGGCGTGATATTTCTGTCCTTCTTTAGTAATTAGTGCCCATTTAACAAAACATGAAAGGTACAATGACTGTCACAGTATGTTCTCCATAATGCATCCGATGCAATTTCATCAGATTTCGTCAGCCTATTTCAAATTCTATATAATATAAAAAACTTGCCAATTCCTCTTATCAATTCTTTTCGTCAATCAAATTAAAAGTCTTATTTCAATTTTATAGCTTTAGCTACTACTGCATGCAAATTATCGACATATGGGTCTCAGATGAATGATACTTCTAGAAAGCCTTTCTTCGTATACTTAGGCATGTTTATATACAGATGAAAAAAGAAACCAAAATTATATTAAAAGTTTATACAAAAACAATTATCTACTAGTATATATGTTGATTGAGTTAAACATTTGGCGAGTCAGTCAGGGTAAGATCGAGCAATCAAAACAAAACAAAACTTTTTATATGTATAGATTTATTCTTAAAAAAAAATGTAAGATGTCTAAATTTAACTACGTGCCATAAAATATTATAATCATCTGTCTGACCTTGTTTATGTTGATATAGATACATTTTTATATATATTATTGGAATATATAATAGTCAAGTATAAAAATATAAAACAAACACAAACGCTGTTTCAAAATAACGAAATGATGTACTTATAAAAAAGGCCGATAAGCCAAATGAACCTTCAAAATGTCTGTGCCCTATACATATTATCTATAAACATCAAAATGCTTAATCATATCATCTGCACCTCGTACTCGTACACATCTTCTTTATTATAAACCTTTGTTGGGTTCATTTTTTTATATAAGTAAAAACTAACCATATATATTATTTTTTTACGTATATAACTATATATTATTATATGCAACCTACCTTAACAAAACAATACATTCTAACAGTAATAAACCACCATGAGCTTTAGAGTAAAATCACACTATATATCTAGAGGGCGCCATAAGACCATGTGAGATGGCAGACGACCACGTCTATCCTCTGAATATCACTATGAATATATATATATATGGTGTATTTAGCACTGAAATACATTAAATTATTAATTAAATAGGCAACAAATATTTGAATGTCTATACATAACAAATTCAGATGAGTATATTTTCTTATTTAAAATTTTTAGGGCGTGATTTTTCAGTAGTCGAATATTAGTTTTTTACTTATTTTTTTCATAACAAAATACTTATAGATACGCTTTAAATATGGAGAGATGTTTGGTTCACAGCTGAAGCGTGATTTTAGAAATTACTTCCAGTTATCGGGTGCATACAAAAAATTCGTAAGCAACAGTTAACAATATATGGTTTACATATTTGAAATGTGCTAATTAAATCCTTTAATTTGATACGCAATACCGCATACTTAAAAATAAATTCTATGCTGATTTTATATCCTCTACAAGACGTCACATTCAGTTTAACAGATAAATTTAAATAAGATAGGTAAAGCCGTTAAAGCGCCAACAACAAATAAACTCACTTTCACGTCTATAATATTATTAAATTAAAACTTTAAACTATCCAATAATTTCTGAGAATTTTTTCCGTCATTAAAAATGATGTATTAAGAGGATATCCTCGACCTTCGTGATGTCTGAAAAACATTACGATGCTGACCAAGGCACCAATCGTAAACCAAAACCGCAGGCATCTACGAAACTAGTTTCAACTAAATGTCAACAGCTATTATTACCACCTCTACGAGAGGTCACTGAGGTCAGACGATGTACTATGTGTAGTCATAAATAACGCAATATTTCTAAACAATATTATATATAATATTCAATATTTATCTAAAAATAATTATTTTAATACCATAGTATATATATATAAATATACAACATAACACTAACTTAAAACTTTATAAACGTATATATATATATATATATATGTGTGTGTGTGTGTGTGTGTGTGTATGTGTGTGTGTGTGTGTGTGTGTGTGTGTATATAAAATGTATACAATTATTACATCTAGTTATAATAAATAGTAAACGAATATTATCCTCTTATAAGATAGATTCATGCCCATCAGTGGGTCTTTAATGATTTATTATGAAAAGGCAATACAGAAACAGTGTTATGGATGATGGTCTTTTTTTAATGGGAAATGTGCCTTTTACGCATACCGAGACTATCAAATATGTACAGCAAAAATTTTAAACATTTTAAAATTACTTGTCTTCATGTGAAATGTTTAAAAAACAAAATACAATATAATTGCTGATTTGAACCAGGCACTAAATATATAGCAACTGCTTCTTCGTCAAGTGGTTGAAGGTTAATAAATCAAGAAAGAATGGCTTTATTCATGCTAATGGAATACAATAAAGGAGCTCCAATAGAAGTTGAAACGATGAGCATAAAATCAAGTTAGATGACACATAGTAACAAATACAAAAATTAACCACGACGACATCTAAGGGAAACCGTGTGGAAGTCGGTCGAATAGGGTCCTTTCCCCCTTCCTACCCCTTCCTTTTTATTAGACGATTTAGGTACAGATATGTGGAAATGCTCGATATCAAACAATTGAGTTACCCTCTTAACAGGAAATAATTGAGATCGGAAATTTAATTTGATTAAACATAATTTTTTAAATTGGATAAAGCTACTCATAATATCTTGTCAGAGCATTAGAAGAATCGCTAATTACTAAGTCATAAATCTAAACTTTCGTAACGTAACATTAAAATTATATAGATATTAGATATGAATAGAAACTCTCGGAAGATATCAAATATATATGTCAGCTACCTTGACCTGGCATCAAAGTGTTATAGAACTGTTGGAACTGTTACAATGATAATTTAAAAAATGTATGTCGGTAAGTAATTAGTTCAAAAAAACAAAATGCTTTTTAAATCCATTAATTAAAGCTTACTGTAAATTTATCTTACGTTCTACTTCTGATATATAACATATATAGTATATACCTTGGCAATCTGTTAATTAGATACTATTTTTTTATAATGATACTCTATATTAAAAAATATACACGCCCGTAAAAATATTATTATTATTATATACACTCGCGAGCAACCAAATCGACTCAACCCTCAAGGATTTAACCATTTTTTTACCATTTTACCAAATTTTTACATTTTTTTGTTTAATTTCGAAAATACGGGACTTAGGCCCTCTTCCTACATTCCCATTTTTCCTACTCTTACGTTCAGACATCATTTACTTAAGAAATAATTGATGGACTTCAATAATGATGATATCAAATTAAAGCTGACATCTTAAGCTTTCGAATGCCATATCATTTTTATAATTGACATTTGTCGTTTTAGTAAAATCAATACATATGTGCGCCGTCAAGGGTTGAGTCGATTTGGTTGCTCGCGAGTGTATAGTGTATATATTATACTATATGAATGCCATCTATTGAAAATTAGTGGAATGATCGATAAAAAATTATGAATATATATTTAAATATAAATGATAATGGATTAATAAAATCATATAAGCAGCCAGTGCATTTAACTTTTAACTAAAATATTAACTTATAGATGGAGCTAATATATATATATATATATACTTATTTAAATTGCGAGGTTTTGCTCGTTTGAATTTTCATAACAAAAATTAATTATATCCAAATTTCATTTAAAATTAATTAAATATAATTCAGTAGTACTCATCTAAATAGCTTTTAAATGTGTAAACATTCAAAAGAACATTAAATTTGAATTATTTATTCATGATAATCCTCTACAAACTTCTGTAATTTATTTACAGAAATAAATGTAAATATTCTTTCTTTTTTTCCTCTACCTAAAGGCTGTCTGTAAGAAATTGCTTTAGCGATAAGATCGACGTTTGTACTTCATATGTTTTTATTATTCATATTAACCTAATAACATTAAAATTTAATATTCTGGCAATATGTAGCCTCCGCCTTGCCTAGTGGTTTTTCGAATGTACAAGTACGTGCAGAATATTTATAACTTCAGATGACGTCTTTGCCCAGGTATGTTAGATAACTTACCAAATTAAATTTAAATCCGTTTAACCGTTTATGTGACAAACAATCTGTAATATTGTAAAATCTATATAATAATGAGAAATACTGGGATTTAATAAAAAAGCGTAAATTATTTGTACAAAACGTTTAAATTAAATGTATTTACAAAATGATTATCAAAAGTATAAAAAATAAATACATGCCTCAATGTTTCTATGAAAAACATAGAACACTTTTGAAGAAGTTATTTGTAACTAATTTATTAATCATTCTAGTTCACATAGTGAATATGAATGACTGTCGATTGATTTCATTATCAGTAACCTGTGTATAAGCAGGTTTAATTAACTTAATTTCTATTTTCAGCTTGTGGAGGAGCGGTAGCGAGGAAATCAAGAGCACGTTGGATCGCTGCGGGAATTGGGGGAGGAGTGGGAAGATGAGCACCCTGAGGCTGGAAACCGTTTTCATTAGCAACATAAGTCAACTGAATGTTGCTGCCATCGTCACTAGGATACTGAAATTGTCCCTGAACTTGAATAGCAGGCTCCTCGGCACCGACATTCTTCAGTTCACCCTGCTCCTCAGCAACTATGCCATTTCCAGTCTCATAAGAATACTGGTACGAGCCATCAGGGTTGACCTGGCTATCTTGACGAATAATCGGTATGGGCTCGGTAGCTGGGCCTTGTGGTGCAGCGCAAACGACTGCCAATAAACCCAGAAATACCTGAAAAATAGTAATTAAATTTAAATTCTGTGTCCGTTAAAAAGTTCCTTCAATAACTTTCCTCTGCAAAGTCGATATTGATAACTTTGCTAAATATTTTCAATCACTGCACACAATTCTGATGTATGTTATCACTGAATATCTTTGAGCACTGTCACTGACACTTACAATGGTCTTCATGTTTGTGTTTGTTTGTTGGTGAAGGCACTGAACAATGTTCTTCTAACAGTGCTATATCGGTATATATATGGACGGGTCACTATGCCGCCTACCACCTCTGATAGTATTGCACCATTTGGCACGTCAGAATAAATCCGACAATATAATGTCTAAGCCTACTGTTGATGTGCGCTTGCGTGATTTCTGCATGATTATAGTTTAATCGATATACATATGGCAAAGCTCGTGTATGAAATAAAATAATAATTTACTAATGTAATTGCTAGTTTAACTAACAATTAAAATATTAATAGTCAATTATAATATGACTAAAAAAGCTTTTGTTACTAATATTAATTTACATTTTTTGCCTACAATCAGCAAGCCACATTAGAATGGCCGTGTTTCGATGTATATATATATATATATATATATATATATATATATATATATATATATACATATATGTAAGAATAGACCCTAAAAATTAATAACATCAGAGGGGGTGTCTCTCGACATTAATAATAGTAGCTTTTTATTAAATTTATTTTTATTATTAACAAAACTATTTCAGTTTGATTGTATTGTGTATTAAAGTATTATTGCCACAGTAGCAATACCTACCTATGCAATATTTTTATCAATTTACACTACATGCAATAAATGTTTGCCAAAATTTATAATTTACAATACTTTAGCGACAAAACCTGTCAGACGTCCTTGTCTGACAGTCAGTCAATATCATAAAATATGAATTTACAAATAAATAAGCGTATAACACGTAAAAACTATTGAGGGCTATAAACTTAAAAGAATATATAATTAGGCACATGACCTAAGAATTCGTTTTATTACTCATATATATTAACAGTGTGTTCTCTAACAAAAAATAATCGATATGACCTTTCAACAATCAAGAAAGTTCTAGTCTTTACCACGTTATTTAAAATTTACAATAATCTTTTAAAACTTTATTGAAAGTGTATAATCGATGTCGTAACGAATTCACAGAAGATGTTATGCTTTCTTTTGTAATTTATTAGACACTCGATATTTTACCAACACCATGTATAGAGGACCCTGACATAGAAGCTTTATATGAACTTAAATGTTTTAAGTAAACAATTGCCATAACTTATTTTATATTATGTGTATATTCCATATTTGACCTTTTTCAATAGCAACGTAATTTAATGATTGTGAAACCAAACGAGATGGAATTTCATACCAAATTGCATAAAATATAGACTACAATAATTAGTGATAGTTTGCTATTCTTCGCCTATATCTAGACACAAGGTAGCGTGTCCAGCTAAGTTCAAAGAAAAATGGTACTAAAGCTTCCCAGCTGTAAAACCCATTTTAGGGGTAATTCATTTGCATACCGTGCTGTACAGCTGTGGAATAAACTTCCTGTGGGTATTCAGAATAGCTCATCCAGCAGTTCCTTCAAGAAAAGATTAAAATCATTCTATCTTTCCAATTTTGTTTAAATGTAATTGATTAGAAGACTGTCATCATTGTTTTCTCTTTTATTTGATATTTATTCTTATATACTACATAAATAAGGATATATATGTATACATATTCTTATTTACGTAGGTTTATATTTAAATGTATGTATTAATATTGTATCTTTCAAATATATATATATATATATATATATATATATATATATATATATATATATATAATGATTTGTAATTTATGTAAATATTTATTTTAATTTCTGTTTTGCACTACTACTGCCCGCTCACTACTTCCTATGCCACTGTGTTAGGTTGACTGGAAGAAATCTCTTTTAGAGATAAGTTCGCCTTTGCTAACATTGTTATTGAATTATTGTTGATACTGTATATTTTAGTGCAATAATGAATATATATAAAAAAAAGTATTAACGATGCAGCAGCTGAATGTAATATTACATGAACCATATCGAGCTACTTTTACCACCTCAAAACTCGAATCCTATTTAATTTAAGTTCATGAAATTCAGCGCAGTTATTAAAGACCCTTTAGCTTGTCAAGATTCCATAATATCATAAATATTAATTAAATATTAACGTTTAAAAAGTAACATTTTATGACTGGCTCACTGATTGACTTATAGATCAAAAAACTATGCCACATCCGAAGTCGTGGAGATTGTTAACAATGGGATCTAATATCCCGATTACTAGCAATATACCGTATCAGGTGAGCCTCCACGCGATACCCCCTGAAAACCTTGTGATTAAATCTTGTTTAATTTGTTACAATGGGCCAACTGACTTACTTACATCGTCACCTATCATCTCTCACTAGTGCCTTGCTAGTTCATACTGATAACGCAGGCAGGGTTACCATGTTATTTTCACCTATAAAAAAGCTACATCCAGTTGATCTAGAAACTTGATATTTGGCATCATTTAGTTTTTATGTGTAGCATTTATTATATTTATCTAATCAACATATCTTCATTATATCATACGCATATTAATCCTGTTTGTACTGTACTCATACTGTTAGTTTGATATAATACCTACATTGTTTTTATAACATTTCATTTATTGATAAAAAATATCCAAGCCAAATCTTGTGCTTTAATTACATCCCAAGTGGAAAAAAATTATTGTGTCTAATAATCATAATTGTCTGTTAAAATATAAAAATTTAAAATGCCTATTAAGTAACAAACATGGTAGTAGTATCAAGAAACAAAAAAATGTTATACAAATTAATTTAATAATATTGCATGTTCTTGTAACTTGTAAATTTTAAGATTTTCTACACAGAACGCGGTATCCAATATCCATTTAGGTCTCATTTCGGAGTTGAAACGATGCATAATCGTAATATTGAACTTGGCTCTCATTACACATTTATGTTTTTAATGAGATATTACTTTTACTAAACACTAGCATGTCGAGCTTTTCAATTATGCTGTATTTTTTACTTTTGTGTATATTTTACGCGATATCTTCTCCAAAGATTGACAAAATTAACAATTTCAATTGCTTTTACTGTTTAATTTCAAAATATTTTCCAAAATAATTTTAGAGATCTATATAAAAACGAAGTGTTATTTTTTTGTATGTTTTATTAGAAATAAAATTTCGAATTTACAAATTTAATAGGAAAAAGTTTGTTGTAAAGATATTAATTATACCACTCACTTGATTTTGCGGTTGACAAGGTTCTATGCCGACACATTACCTACAATGCCATACCGTTCAGTCTCAGTGATAAAATTTTATTATTCCATACACTTACCAGTGATATCGATATATATCATAGTTAACTGCGAGGTGCGCAAACGATATCCCGAAGGCAAAATTGGCATCTTTTCTGTGAGGTCGTGCTGATCGAATTAAATATCTTGTATCGACTACATGTATCAAATTACTAATTATAATTAATGTACTTGTTTCTGTCAGATCGACTTTGAAGTGGTCTCCCCTGAAAACTATCGTGCTAAATTCCAGGTGTATTCATCACAATGGGCTAACTGACCTGCCTTTTTATTCTCACCTATCATACCTCACTGGTATCTCGCGAGCGAATGACATTAGCGCCGGCAGGATTACCACTCCATTATCATCCATTAAAAAAATCGGATAAGTTGTCCCAAGTGTACATACTCGTCGTAAATTTTGAGCGTAGTGTTTTCAGTTATGACCGGTATAGTTGTAACATGGGCATTAGACATGATTTTAGTCTTGTCAATATTCATCTTAAGCCCTACCTTTTGAGAAGCACTATTAAGGTCATTGAGCATATTATTCAAGTTCTCCAAGGAATCCGTCATGATTATCAACGGCAAATCGAAGGTCAGTGATATATTCGCCATATCTATTCCAGTCCAGTAGTTTGAAAACATCTTCCAATGCAGCTGTGAAGAGTTTCGGGGATAAGATGTCACCCTGTCATACACCTTTCTGTACTGGGATGGAATTCGTACCCTGATTCTGTATTCAGATAGACATAGTAGCCTTACTGTACATACACTTCAATACTTCGATATACCTACAATCAATCTGGCATCGCTGGAGGGACCGTAGTACCATGTCATGCCCATGTCTCGACCAAATCAAAAACTGTCTCATAGTCCACAAACGCTCAATGTCAGATTATACTGTTCGATCTTTCAGTTCTTGTATAATTTGCCATAATAAATACATCAAAAATATATTCATAGCACACATCACATAGCTCGAAGAACCGACAACCGATGGGGAAGAAAGGTTTTTGAATGGCGACCACGTACGGGTAAACGCGGTGTAGGACGATCCCCCACTGGATGGAGTGATGACCTGAAATACGTTGCAGGAAGTCAGTGGATGCAGGTGGCTCAGGACCGTTCTTCATGGCAGTCTATGAGGGAGTCTTATGTCCAGCAGTGGACGGATAATGGCTGAAATGGTGATGATAATGAAGCAGCAATACAAACGGCAGCGTACGATTGTAGTAATCAATTTAGTATGAAAATTAAAAACCGGTAGTTAAAGTTTATTGTTCTTTTAATATTAATTTTATATAAATACCTCATCACACACACAAGCGTTACCACAGGTGTTATTTATCCTATAAAAATAATAATGCTATCTTACATCGTTGGTATAGAATGATGGCATTTAAAATATCACGTAGTTTCCACTTTTAATTAAGTTATTCCACTGATTATTCTATTATAGCCTTGTTTTATGTATATTTATTTATAGATTACAAATGATGGTATTTCTATAAACTTATTTTAAAAAAAATATGATCACGGGCCAATTAATAAAATAAATTATTATAGCACTATAAGTTGCACCCCTTGCCCTTATGGTTTTAAATAAAAAAATTGTAAAAAAATAAAGTACCTATTTCATAAAGTATTTTTTCAAATCTGCAATTACCCAGCAAGTATTTTTTTAAAAATGCCTACATCAACAATATTTACATATACAGTGTAACTTTCGTAAATGATACTATAGTAGATATTTTTCAAACTTGTATATATACTATTATGGAATCGTCATCATCATTTCAGCCATTTTCTGTCCATTGCTGGACATAAGCCTCCCCCATAGACGGTCATGCCATAACGAACGGTCCTGAGCCACCTGCATCCATTGACTCCCTGCAATGCATTTCAGATTGTCACTCCATCTAGGGGGGGGGGGGGGGGGGTCGTGCCACCCTACCTTTTATGTAATATTGATATAAAAATAGCATTTTCATTTATTTCATATTTTATAAATCTTACACAATAATGGCAATGTAATTTATTTATCGAATGTAATATATTAATCGGTAACAATCTACTTACATATAAATATATGTGTTTTCTCTATGAAGTAGTAATATGCTACAAAACCTTATCAGCTGAACAAATTCTTTTTGTAATACGTTCAGAATTATTACCCGAGCTGTAGTAATCAATCATAGTACATTATTGTTATTCGAATATATCAATAAAATTCTAACTATTTATCACAAAAATTTATTACAACAGCATGATAATAAGGTATAAAAGTACAAAATACATATCACAAAATGACTATGAGTATTTCTTTGCTTCAGTTGACTAATTTACTGAGCTGGCTGTTGGGGTTGAGGAGGAGCGGTGGCAAGATAGGCGAGAGCGCGCTGAATGGGCTCCGGTACTGGAGGAGCAGTAGGGAGATGAGCACCTTGGGGTTGAAAGCCGTTCTCATCAGCAACGTAAGACAGCTGAATGTTTCCATTATCCCCGGGATATTGAAACTGTCCTTGTACTTCTAAAGCTTCAACGTCTCCAACCTTCTTCAAGTCACCTTTCTGGTCTGCACTAATTCCATTTCCTGTCTCGTATGAGTATTGGTATGATCCGTCACCGTTGACTTGACTGTCTTGTCTTAAAATAGGAATAGGCTCCGTTGGTGCCTGGGATCCTTGAGGAGCCGCTAACGCCACCGCCGCCAGAGTCGATATCAATACCTAAAAATAAATTATTTATTATTTCACCAGTAAGACCATACATAATGTAGACTATAGTAATGTACAAAAGACGATCTTATCACTGACATTCACTTCGTAACAGTGTTTGGTTAGAGGAGAATTAATATAACCGAAAAAGCGCACAATTAATCCAATTGTATCAATTTGAATTAAATTTGGATCACTAATGAGTAGGTGTTTCATTCATATACAGATTAGAGTTATTTGCATATTTATTGTTCAACCACACACACTTAATCGTGATTTATTCGTTCAAGTCACTGAACTTAATGATAACACTGTCAAGGTGAACTGTAATCCGAAATAATCGTATGCACAATTACAATAAAACACTTACAATAGTTTTCATTGTTTGAATTATATGATTGGTAATTGAACTGGGAAGATACCGTATGTCAACTGATGAAGATACATCTTGACAATTTTATTATATATACTCAGTACCACATGGCCACCTCCCTGCATTACTAATTTCACAATTCATTGCTATGTCGCAAAATCCATGAAATAAGTAAACAGTAGATGCATTACCTCAATGCGTAATGTCATATTGGCGGGGCGCAGTGTAATAGTTGTCAATTGTCAACAAAACTAACAGACTTTTCATTAGTTCCAGCACAGTCTCATAGAAAGCACTTCTCATGAATCCTTTAAAAGAAACGTGCACTACATAGTAATATTAAAATTTCTAAGTTATATTATTATAATATTTTAAATTATCTTATAGTTAACTCTGGATATAACCTTTTCATGAGCCATATTTCATACAAATTAATCTAACTTTATTAAAATAATTTAGATGCAATTGTAATTAATGTTGTATACGCATATAACATACTTTTTGCTTTATCGGCATGACACTATAAATAATATGTAAATATTTAAACACAACAAACCATCAAATAGAATATACATATATATATATATATATATATATATCCTATGAACATTCAAAAAAGTCCCTCTATTGGTTCCTTCAAGAAAACTTTTAAATCACATCTTTTTAATATCACTTAATTATTACTATCAGTATTGAGTACAAGATTGTCATGAGTGTGTTCTTATTTATTTAATATGCTTAAAACGATTTATTTTAGAAAAAAAATCACCTTTGTTTACATTGTCATTGTTTCTAATCGTTATTATTACTTTATGTTTAAGTGCAATAAAGAATATTATAGTGAACAAAATCATTCTGATTATGGTCAACTATAAGTTAAAAAACAAAAACGCTCAAAACTGTATATATTTAAATTCTCAAAATTATAATTAATAAATAACAAACAAAGTCTCATATATTAATTTATAATAAGTGGGATTATTTAGATTTAAAATGATTAAAATAAAATCCATGTCGGAATAAATATTACAATAATAATATATTGTATATTATAATAACATAGGTATGACTATGAAATTACAGTATCCAGTTGCACAACATTGTCGTTCTTAAAAACGGTAACGTATGAGGGAAACCATGGCTACCATATGGTATTCTATGATATTCATGATGTTGTTTACACATATATTCGATCATTACCACTTTCCATTAGGTAGGTCGTCAGTCTATTTTCCGTTCTAAATTGAATTGAAAATATAATAAATGAAATAAATATTATATGCATTTGATACATACAAATAACATGAAAACTATTTTAGATATAATACTATACTACGTATTCATTCTTCCATAACATCCCACCAGTAAACTTCCCTATTTGTATCAAGTTTTATTTCTCTTAAATTAGTGAATAATTAACCAGTGATCTTTATTAGCTTCTAAAATGTATGATAACACATTGTATTCTCATACTGTCTCCATACAAACAAAGGTTTTGACTCTATCATAAAAGTTATAGTGTCAGGGTAATAATAAGCTATTTATCATATTTTTATTTTTCTATTACGAAAATAGACTTGTGCCCAGAAGTGGAACATTAAACCCAAAATTTAAATAATATTCTAAATACATATTTATAACATATTTAAATTAGGATTGTTTGTAATTGGATATGTTGCACTCTAGCATCTAAATTACTCATCCAATTTTTTAGTCACTTATTACGACAGAAAAATCCATGTTACATTGCTGTCGTTGTTGCACTTTTTATTTTAATAATATATTATACTAATAGAATGCGAAAAGAATCCTTGTAGGTCCAGGTGAAAGTTCGCATACAATGGCTAAAAATCAAACCACAAGACGGTTAAAATTGACAAGCCTTGCATCATAGCATCATTGTCAAAATATTGCGTTATCCTATGATGTCACTAGAAAACTTTGCTGTCCTTGGTCATCGTTGTCTGGGTTTCTTAAAACTATATTTCTATGAATATTCAATTATTGTATAGTTAACCTTTAAACTATGTAAAGAACTAATGTAAATAATACCAACTACCTACATTAGATGCACACAACCACTATTTTGTACCGACAATTGAGGTGAAATTCACGAATAATGTTCGTGATAGCATCAATTTTGCAATATATTATATGCACAGACATTTCGAATATAGAATTAAGACAAATGAAGTCGAGTGATTATCGACTTCATTTGTCTTAATAGTCGAGTAACACTAAAAGAAATAACCAAGAATAAGAAAAAAAAACAAGAAATTTTAAGGCTGTGTAATATAATAATAATAATCATCATATAAATTTGTTTTTAATATATCATTAAAATCATCAAAGCCATTACATATCATACATACATATAAATAAATACTACAATTAAATTATGTAATATTTTTACCACGATTAAAAAATTAATACGAAATTATTGAAATTGATTTTGAAAAGCATTTCATAATTTATTTTATCAAATTGCTTTTCGAAACTAATTTTAATAATTTCTTAATAATCACATAGAAAATATATAATAGAGCAAAAATTTTTCTCCGCAAAAAACACACGGTCATGACAAAATTAGTATAAGACAAATATGGAAGTATATCCATATATATATTGCAAAAATAACTTAAATCTGTTCAGAATTGACACTGATATCGCGTAATGAATATGCAAAATAAATAAAAACATGAAACCACCTCCTTTTTGATTATCTATTTTACTAAAAGGTCAGACATTTGTCACAATAATCGACTTATCTACCATAATTATATACACACAAATATTACACACCTATCAAATCGTCAAAAATATAAGCTGCCTACATCGTGTAGCATATCAATACATGTCTGTAATATTATGCAATTTGATAGTCATTTATAAGAATAGGTATTCAGACAACAAAGGATTTCACTCATATCTGTTATGTAAATCACATTGTAGGCTCATCGAATATCTTCAGGCAAATTTTAGTATTGCTGCATTTATTTGCTGGGTGTGGCATATGAACTTATGACTGAATGATGTATGTCTATGATAATGTGATGAAGTCATGTGACGGTTCTAGTTCTAACAACTATACTGGCGCATGTTATTCTAAACATGACCCGAATATCAATATTTCGTTAGCGATTTTATTCTGAATACAATATGATTATTTTCATTTATTCCTCCCATACTGTGCATATAGCATAAGTATAGTTGTCGTAACCAAATGTTTAATCTAAGGTTTGGTGTTTTCTCTTAAATAATGCAAAGAAAATAATATGTATACTTAATAGTGATAACAAAGTAAGAATATAGTTGGTCGCCACTCCTTTTCGTCACCAAAATGTCAAAAGGTGAATAAATCAAAGTAAGATCAAAGTACGAGAAGAAAAACTCATATTTAAATTTTATACTAAACTACCTAACTAGCTTAGTAATAGTAGGTTATATCCTTCTTGTATGAGAAGAGATCCACGCCCATTTATAATGATATCATAGTTATTCTTTCAATATTAAATAATTTTTTGTCTAAAGTACTGACGTCTGTAGTGGATACAGGCGTCAATACATTTTGCATATAAAAAATTGATAAATATGAACACATTTACCCATTTATTTTAATATGTAATGCAAAAATAAAATAAACATATACTCTTAATCAATAATCTAAATAAAAAAATATTTTTAAAAACTACTTATACGTGATAAATTTAAGACATTGTGTTTATTTTTATCGACCACTGATACATATTTTATCCATTGCCATATCAAAATATTTAATGATAATGTTTATTAAATTATCGCCTTATATTTCACGTCCGCGTAAATGAGGTATGTGAAGTTTATGGGTATGTGATGGCCATGCGACCTTGACACGTGTAGTGCGGCGAAAGTGAACAGACTGGTTATTAAGCAACTGGGGGTCGGGTGCCAGTCGCTCTTCAGTTGTTCTCAGATAAGTACTTGTAATTTCTCGCAAAAACGCATTCGTGTATGACCCGTCTCTGCTGCACTGCAATTAACTTTGACAACTTGCGAACCTATAATTGTTAACGCAGGCAACCGCTATCATTATTCAAACTAGCAAGGTCACCCATCTCAATGGTACATTTTTTTATAATGTTACGACATTGCACTTTATTTTAAACAATATGATTAATGTCTATATCGCTAGTTATGATAAATAGAGATGAATAACATACTCTGTAACATGAACATCAATGTATATTTGACAGCACAAAATTACAACAGTATAAAATAACTATCTAAATTAAATACATTAAAATTATAAGACACACATTTTTAATTTGAAATAAATTTATATCACAATACTGTATTAAATATGTTATACTTAAAATTATCTTTGAGCCTCCGTTTTGTAGGAAACTGATATCGTTTTTATTATTGGTCTAGTCGTGTTTAAAAAGCCGGCAAGTCTCTGTGTCTGTACTGATTATGGTAGTCTTCGTTACTTGGCGGTAAAGTAGCTAGATATTCTAGAGCCTTCTGGATCTCTGGTGGAATAGGAGGCGATGTAGGGAGGTGTGCTCCTTGAGGCTGAAATCCATTTTCGTCTGCTAAATACTGCAGTTGAATTACCTAAAATCCAGGAAAACATATTTAAACCAATAATTACGCCTAAGTTTTTATTCTAAAAAAATAAATAAATAATGTACTTTCATACCGATTCCAAAAAGAAGGAGGTTCTGAATTGGATTGTATTTTTATATTTATTACCTCTTAACTCCGTTAGTTCTTAACCGATTAGGAAATATATTTTTTATCTGAAAACATCTGATTTATATATATACAAATTGGTCCCATAAAAATTTTATCAAAATCCGTTCAGTATTTAAATATTTTTTTTACAAAATCAATTGGTTTTTATCACAATTGAAGTAGATTTTTTCTAAGACCCAATTTTTAATCATTCCCGGACATCCTTTCAAATTAATTTAACATAAAATACAGTTATATATTATAATTGTATAAAGATTTTATAAAAATACTAACTGATGCGCTAAATATTGTTTTATTCCTTAAGAATCACTTATCATAATAAAAACTATTCTATCTCTCAAGTTGAAACAAACAATACACATTTACAAAATATAAACTTTACAGATGCGTTCGTTTGTTGCGTTTGTTAAAATCAGTTAAGCAGTTTCAGAAATTAACGTGAATGAACATTAAGGCGCGAAATTCTCATGTATTTATTAAGAATGGCAAAATATTCAAACCTGTCCGTCAGGAGCGGTGTATGAGTACTGTCCTTGTGCCGTCTGTGCCTCTTGGTCGGGTATTCCCTGATTCTTTACATAGCCTTGTTCCTCTGCCGAGATCCCATTACCAGTCTCGTAGCTGAAATATAAATCATTTTTAGATATATCCTTATTGTCTTATTAGTCTGTATTTATTTATCACTAGCTGTGCCACATCTTCGACTATGTTGCGGCGAAGTATATAAATATTAGAATAAGGATAGCATAACGACATTTTCAATATAAGTGCCATATACTTACACTCATACATCTGGGTTTTCATTTGTTATCAGTTACAATGGAAATAATTAAAGATACAAAAAGAAAACAAATACTTCAATTGTATATTGTATATTAGAAAAGGAATTGGACATTTTGTTTACAAAAGAAACATACAGACGAAAAAAAATTTAATAATCAGCATAATTATTGTTACAGTTGATTGTATACTTTCGTGGTTATACCAAAATCTATAAGAAAAATATTGTACAAACCTCCATTTATAAGATCCATCGGGATTAAGGATTTGCTCCTGTCGAATGATGGGTATCGGTTCCGTAGTATACAATTGCTCGTCTCTACCAGGACGTGGATATGGAGAGACCTGCGGATGTGGACGAGGTTGGTACGCCTGGAAGTCGCTAACGTCCGTCCTCACACTACCAAATATTACAACAAGGACAAACTAGAAAAAAAAATAGTTATATTTATATTATATATTTTTATTGAATATCTGACATCTTTTATAAGATTTTTTTTAATTATAAATAAATAATATTTTTTGTTAATTTTGAAAAATATACATAAATATTTTTTTTATTATTATATCAACCATCAACTGTCACTGCTGAACATAGTCTTCCCTTATAAGGAGGGGGAGAGGGCAGTAGTTGCCATGCTCAGCAGGCTTGCTGGCAACCGCAGACAGGCTTTAGGTAATATTTTATGAGGAACATTGCAAACCATCCCCTATCCATTTAATTCCCTTAGTCGCCCTTTGACACTCACGGCAAAAGAAGAGATGGTCCATTTAATGCCGGGACCACAAAGTGAAATATTATAAAATGAGCAAAATTGAAATGATCAACATCCTTTAAGTTAAGCATTAATTAACACATTATCATTTTTCCTGAAGAAATATGGGTCGAAAAACAACTAAAAATTTGGTCCTCAAGTAAAAAAAATACCTAAAAAAAAACAGTGAAATTATACCTAAATACTTAACACACAAATAATGTAATAATGTTCATAATACATTATTGTTTCTCTGTATCATATTTTTAATTAAAACCTAATTAAATTACATACTATAAAACAAGCTGTATACCGTGTCTGAAGACAAATTATCTAGCAAAGCAATAAGTATTAAAATATTGTTAAGACATGACCTTAAGATAGTTGGCAGGCGAAACAAGAAGAAGACTATTACCTATTGCCAATAATTTTATTTTAACGTCAACAAAATGACATAAGACAAGGAAAGTTAACAGGATATACAATATATATTTCTATAAGTAAACAATATTATACTTATTACTATTCTTAAAATGTCGTTTCCTTCAATCAATAACAAGAAATTCTTGTTAATATATAATGCTTAATTTATCCACCTTGGAAATTATTAATAGTTATCAATGGAAACTACGCAGTAGGTTTCTATATTATTTTAGATATAGTCATTAAATTATTTTCGCTATATTAATTTTAGCAATACATTGCAAATTTTAATTGATATATTTGGTTAATTATTTTATAAAGAAAGAAAAAGATGAATTAGCCAAAAAAGTCATATTAACGAATCTAAAATCCAAGAATAGTGATATTATAGAACAAACTCCTAGTCTGGCATGTTTATACAGAAAAGATCAAGCAACCGGTGTCTACTTTGTAAAATCACTTAAGTAATAATAATAAATATTAAGTATGGTACTCATTACGTATGCATGTTAAAAAGCTTTTAAAGATATTTTAAATAATTTCCAAGTTAAATCTCATAATAAGAAGCTGTTCATGTTTAACAAATTAATTTAAAAAAAAAATTAAAATATTGTAACTTTGCATGTATATTACATCTATAGTACCAAATTGTAAAATACTAATAATTAAATTGTTAAAAGTTATGCATAAAATAAAAATTTTATAAGACTTACTATAATGCGCTTCATATTGTATTTAATTTGCAAGGCGACTTGCAAAAGTTTAATGTGATGTGATGCATCTCGGATCCACCCCATCGTATTTATACGAAAAATTTTATTGCAATTACGCATCGTTGCAAATTCTTTATGCATTTTATGGGCTAAAGGCAGTATGAGAAGTCTCAGAAACTGTTACAATACAACTATACACGACCATGGCACCGGTAGCCTCGTGCAGGTAAATAGCAACTCAATTTATATAGACATATAGTTTACAAATACATTCCACAAAATGTCTACACCTACGTATAATTATAACAAAAAAAAAAACAAAGGAAACTACTATCTACCACTATCAAGAATAAAGAGATTAACTAAGATATTGTTTAAGTACTTAGCAAGCACGCAGATCTAATAACTTATATAAGTTAGCTTATTTACTGTCATATTTGCAAGAACTTGTTATTCATAACATCAGTCAATATACACTCATCTTGTACATATGCCAAATAGTTGATTGATAGAGAACATTATCCAGTGTTAAGTCCGCCAAATGTATATACACTTAGACTGTACATTAAAGTTTAAATAAAATAAATATGCTTACCCTATATCTGATGAATTTCTATTTTGTTGAATTTCTATTTTGTTGGAGGTCAGTTCTTTGATTCGTCTTCAATTAAACAATGTTGTCTATATATCTTTGGAGGCATTTCCAAAACGTAATATGTGACTACTGAACTTTCAAAAATAAACTAAAACTAATAATGTAATATAAGTACAATATCTAAAGCATATACCACTAAATGATTGATGAAATCCATAAGAAATCTGTTATCATCTTATTTTTTAACAAATTACACACCATAACTTCATTGTTCTGACCTTGACAAAAATGGAGATTTAGACTAATTCAAGAATATAAAGTCAAGGTCTAATAATGGATTTACGTAAACCGTTAGTTTTGGACTATTTTATGTTCTTTTTAGTCACTGATCCCAAATATTCTCTGCGATTAAAGTAATTTATGTATATTATTAGGTACAGCAATTCAGTGTTCAAATTTTATTAAAATTCAAATACCCTAGATGTGAGTAAATAAAGTAATAATGGTATATATAATAAAGTAGAGTACAGAGTAGAGCGTTACAGAATAGGATATAGATTCAATTACAAAATTTTACAACAGTATTAAAACAGTATTATTAAAAAGTTTAAAACTTCAATTTATTAAAAAAAAAATTTTTATTTATTATCTATGCTTCAAAGGTTTATGATCAACTTCATGCGTCATAAAAAAAGTATTATTCTAATATCAAAGAAAATAAAATATGTAGTATTTTTTTAACAACAAGCGCTTTCGACTGTCACAGATTATATACCTACGATTAACGCAAAACAATCAGATGCAAACCAGTTGCAGACATGCACTTGTGACATACTTCCACAATGTTTTTATTTATTAAAAATTTCCTCATCATCATTTCGTGTAGGTTCTTGAAGAATTTTACCTTTAGGATTTTATGAAATAAAATTATGAAAGCCTATAATAATACTAGACAAATACGATTAGGTATTGTACTTTAATATCACTTTATATAAACATAACATAGGTAATTAAAGATTTGTATTACTATATTTTTAAGAAGCAGAAATAATTATATAAGTACTAGAATAATAAATTTTAACAGAAAGTGATGATAATTATATTCTTCTTAACAAATCAATATACACGTATGAAAAAACCTTAATAACGGTATAACCGTAATAAAAATATTTAAAAAAAAAGAAAAATTGAGCGTGAGTCTGAACAATATTAAATAATAATAACATTTTTAATATGACGTACTTATTGCAATATTTGGTACGATTCTAATATAAAAACAATCTTAGGTTATATAGATGGAGTATTAAAAACGTGACAAGCTTTATTCAACTAATTTAACGTTTGGCTGAGTAATTTTTTTTTTTATTAAAATAAGACACGTTTCTTTTTCAGTTTAGGAAGTTTATCTACTGACAAGTTTATTATCAATTGGATTAAGAATTTTCTAGTAGTATAATATGTAGTATATAATTAGTATAATAGTTTGTATCTACCTAAGTACTAGGTTACTTCTACGCAATACTCGTACTATTATTGTTTCTTACAATTTCTGATTGCATCGTCACATCGTAGTTGTTTCGGCTACTTATTTCCAGTATCAAATTGATTAATATGCGCCCTGCAGCTATAGGATGAGTTGCAAGTACTTTCGAAATATAATTGTGCGCAAAAAATCACAACCGTAAAGCACTAAAATACGTGTTTCAGTAATCCTACTAATAATATAAATGTAAAAGTTTGTAAAGATCGTTGTATGTTTGTTACTCAATCACGCTCAAATGACTAGATGAATATAAATAAAATGTGGTAATATAGGTACATTATATTCTAACTTAACACGCAGGATATTTTATATTATATATTATACTCTCATATAGGCGAATTATGAATTCTACAACATTTATTGTTAAACATACCTACATATTGTTATCATTGTCACATCAATATATCTATACAGTATACGATTTGTATTCATAAAAATCTTCAAAAACAATGTATATATATATACACATTTACGACTGTGGAATATATATATATATATATATATATATAGATAGATAGATAGATAGATAGATAGATAGATAGATAATTTATTTGCATAACTTACAGCACACAAACAAAAGACACAAAAGCAATGTGAAAAAAGATAAAAAAGATATGTACAAAAGATAAAAAAAAAAAATAAATAAAACCAAAAACAAAATATATATAAAAAGAGCAAAACACTGATATATATATATATATATATATATATATATATATATATCGCCATATATATATATATATATATATATATATATATATATATATATATATATATATATATATATATATATATATATATATATATATATATATAGATACATATATATATATATGTGTGTGTGTGTGTGTGTGTGTGTGTGTGTGTGTGTGTGTGTGTGTGTGTGTGTGTGTGTGTGTGTGTGTGTGTGTGTGTGTGCGTGTGTGTGTGTGTGTGTGTGTGTGTGTGTGTGTGTGTGTGTGTGTGATGTGTGTGTGTGTGTATGTGTGTGTGTGAAATTCTACTTTCGATTATAAATATATATATTTCAGTACAGTTTACAGTCGTGTTTCTTACCCATTTTTCACAGCAGAAATTTCTTTTTGCATTGAATAATCCTGTTAATATTATGATAAAATACAAATGCGAAAGATAGATGGATGTTTGTCACTCTTTGATGCAGAAACTATTAAAGGGATTTTAAATGAAATTGTTGCACACGGCTGATTTACGCAGTAGAGGTCGCGGAATATAAATAGTAGAATCATAAAATATGACTGAATAATATTTTTAAAAGTAAAGTATGAACCATTATATCTCGTATAATCTACATATTTATTTATTTATTTTAATTCATAGTGAAAATGTATGTACAAGCTTAATATCGGACGGTGTTCACTACCAATCAACCATTGGACAAAAAGAGAAATAAGTACGTTTTATAAAAATGTATCTTAATACATAACATGTAAATATTATTAAAACCCTCTCCAAATTTACACTCATATACATCAGCATGTCCTTTGTCATGTCATATTTACCCTTTAAATGATGTACATATCAATTTATTTCTTCAATTTTAATGCACAGTTTATACTGTGTTTGTATGTACATTTGATGGACTTAACACCGGATGGTATTCTCTAACTTAACCATTGGAGTAACAGAGACATAGTTTAACATTATAACATTTTACTTTAGTTTTTTTTTTTTTTTAGATATTCACGTAATAAATAGAACTTTTGCATCTAAGTATGTAGTTACTTATTTATAACTATTTATTGTATATCATGCATTTTCTATAATTTAATATAATATTTTGTATGGCAGTTTTATTTTTTTTTTTTTAAATAGTACTTGACTTTTTACTATGTATTATAATGAAATTGCTACTAAACTATGTCTGTACATAGAAGATAGTTAAGAAAAAAAATATATGCGAAGTCTTAAAAAGTGGAACAGAAGCCAAAATAATAATAAAAAACTTTATCTGTCTGTCTATATGTATATCTGTTCCGATATCATGTAAAAATTACAGCACTATATTGAATGCAGTTTGCATAGTTAGGTCTCTGAAGATCTAACTTATAATCTGGTCACTCTGGTGTATATTTTGACTTAATCAAGAAGTGGTCTATTTAATTCAATACTGCTAGGTCTACCAGGAGACAGGCCAAATTAAAATCAGACGAAACCTTTTTTACTTTAATTTTCAGAGCGTATATGAGTTCGGTTGGTTTTAGATTTTTTTTATAATAAAAGTATTAGTATCGATTCGAAATTTCGAATTACATATCTAATAATTGTAATGGCTAAATACAAATTGTCCATTTCTTTCCATCCCAAATACATAAAAGCATTCTAAAAAGTAATTTTGTTATCCTGCGCTAATATTATGTTGTGTTTGAAATTGGAAGCATAACATCATATGAAACCATTTGCAGATGTTACGATAATAATAAACTTCAAAGAACTCATAATAAAAAGGAGATATTGTTAAGAATAGGAACTAATAGTTTCATTGCTAATAATGTTGAGAGAGAATGCAGAGTCTAACATGGGTGTTGCCATTACAACACCCATGTTAGACTCTGAAAGTAAAGTCAAAAGTTGAGCTTAAAAGGTTTTTCTAGTGATTATGATAAATATTTTAATAGATATATCTATAAGTATATTTTTTTACGTAAACATATTAAAAATCAAGAAAAATTTAGTTAATTACGCAGTGATGAGCAAATAAAAAATTCTGTATTTATGTACAATAGCCATTGCATTTATTCAATAATAATTACATAATTCTTACTTATCTATCAATACAAATATTTCTCAATCGAAATAAGGTAACATATTACGCAGAGTCCTTTTTACTTCCTTCTTTACTTACAGCATTCTTGTTTACCGAGGGATTTAGAGCTGAGTTCAAAACAGGGTTGAGAGCCGGATTCAAACCCGGGTGCAAAGGATTAAATGCATTATAATTATTGTAAAAAGAGTTATATTTCGTTGGATCATAAGGATATTTAGAATTGTAAGGATATCTGGGGTCATAAGGGTATCTTGGGTCATAAGGTCTATTAAAACGATTGTTATAGAATGGGTTATATCTATTGGGATCTAGTTTTCCATCGACAAAGGGAGCAAGAGTCGCTAAAATTTTTCCATCAGCTGGTATGTGAACTCCTGATGGTCGAAAACCTGTAAAATAATATTAAATATACTAAACAGAATCCAGTAACTTGTTGCACAGCTGTTATCGAAAAACATTCACCGACTATTCGTCTACTAGTCTATAAATGCAAACACTGCCGAGTTAAGTTTTGGCATTTTTTCTTTTTATTTTATATATAACCTAAATATCTGTTAAAAAAAGGTTTTTTAATATGTATCACCCTTAAATGACGTAAGTTTAGAAAAATTTTCATTCTACCCGTCTCAACACTAATTACTTTACAAACTGCTGAATATGAAAGGAACTTAATACTCTGGTAGACCATAATGTTGGATTACCACATACGATACTCTTAATCTTGATTCACTATTTTATGGTATTTACCATTTTCGTCAGCGATATAGCTAACTTGTATAGGTGTGCCATCAGGAGCAATGTAGGAATAACTTCCTTGAACAACCTGTAAATCATAACTTACATTATAATTAAATGTATTTCCCTCCTACCAAGGTACACAGTGTCTCGGTCATGTCTGTACCACACTGATAGAGACATGACGGGACAGCTGGTCTATACATTTTAGAAAAAATACGTCATGTCATAGTAAGGAATATAATTTTATAAAATCTGTGTGTGTGTGTTTATCTGTGTTATCGCAGCTACGAAATAAATTAACAGTATATTATATTAACAAAATATGCTGATAGATATATGTATATTGCGCTTGTCTTCCATTGATCCTCAATTTTTCTCCTGTAATATGAAAATTATCAATTAAACTTTGCAAATCATAGCTTAATAAGTTAAAAGTATACTGAAATTTCTCTTAGAATGGAACTTTTAAAAATAAACATTTTTACACCTTCAAAAAAACATTGCAGACATATGAAATGACTTAATTTTTATTTTATACAAATTAGAATGACAAACAAGCTGACGGCCCACTTGATAGAAAGTGGTAACCGTCGCCTATAGACATGAGCAGTACCATAGACATAACAGAGCATACTGTTTCGCCCATGATACCCCCCATGTGTTGCCATTCCTGAGGACTCAGGTGTTATTCCTCTGTACCCTGTAAATTCACGCTATATTCCACCCTTCAAACCGAAACACAGTAATGCAAACACAACTGCTTCACGGTAGAAACACGAATGGGACAGAGGTACCTAAGCAATCGACTTTTTTACAAAGTCTCCCTCTGGAAAAACGGTAATTTTCTTGACATCATTTGTAAAACACTGTGTATTATATAAAAATAATTATAACTATAAATAAAAAAATAAATTAATATAACTTATATTTAATTATACAAACCTGTGTTCCTTGTGGTTCTCCAGCATTATCAATATAAGGATCCTTCAAGTATCCACTCTCTTGGACTTGCTTACCGTCAGCTGTGCTAAAACTAAAATAAGGGAATTTCTGAGACGGTTGAGTGGTTTAATCAAGCGCTTATGTAGTTAGATGTTATTGGTTCTAAGTTCTTAAGCTTATAACATACAAACCTTTTTATACTAGTAATTATTATAAATTTATTGATAAGTACATATAAATATTACTTTCGTTTTATTTTTTTTATTTTTTCGTAGCCTTATCTCAACGACCTGTGTTTTTGAATTTTTGAAAATATCAAATCTATTAACTGATAGTATTCTATGTAAATATAAAATAATTGACTCGAAATTTATTTAAAAACGTGATATTTTTACTAGCTTTTAATAGCGAGTTCGTCCTTGTGACTGAAATATATTGATTGAGCACGAATACCATAAATAGTAGCCTATGTCCTTTCCATCCCAAATATTACATGATGGTGAATTAATGCCAATCGATCGAGCCGTGTTAAGGAATCAAAAGATGACAAACAAAGTCACATTTGTAATATTAATAAGAATTATATCTATATGAATTAAATAATAGAAATTGTAATGAGTACGATATAATTTATAGTATTATATATTTCAAACTTTGCAAAGATTTTCGAATATTTTCGTTACTCCGTTCAATGACTGAACGGTTTTTAATAAGATTTAGTATATAAATAAATCATACTCTGAATTACCACAAATATTACTTTTTATTATAATTCAAACAAATTACGAGAAGCATATACAGTGCAATAATTAAGTGTTTAATATTAATGAATGAAGAGTAATCATTACTTTAATATTTCCTCATATAACAATGAACACTAATTCTTAACTAACTTCGCAGACGATACTCCCACTAAAATTATAAGCTCATTCTAAGGCAAAAACTCAAAATTAATTGTAGTTTTATACATATATTACGACATAATTAGGAACTTCTCGTAAACAATGAACTTTTTATGCGATCTGAAAAAACTAATCTTGGATTTTCCCAAATACCTAAAATGAATTGTCAATTCAAAATGTTAAGCTCAATTAATTATTATGACTTATAAAGAGCACTTTACATCTTATCTACACTTATAAAAAATATTTACCCAAGACTACGGCCGAATGACCCGGATATATTTAAACGGAATAGAAAAATTGTTTATGTACTTCTCCATTCTAAATAATACAATTTTAAATGATAATAAACAAATAATTAAATACAGTCACTTTTATCATAATTATAACGTTTTCATTAAAATTAATATTAAAATATTATTAATAAGTTTTAAAAAAGGACAACAAAGTTTTATTGAAATTATCCTTCACATACCCTCAAAATGAAATTAGTAAAATTCGAAACATTCAATCAATCTATTTTTGATTTGTACTGCTATTGAACATCTGCAAAATGTCTTATAGTCTGGACAATTATTCATTTGTTTACATTTTTATAAAATTCCATCGAGGCAAACCATAGTAAGAAAATAGGAAATGTAAAATAAGAATTAATAATACTAGTGGTAGATGCTCTGTTTCGCTTAGAATTAGGGGCGCTTTGTAATAGGTAAAAGACTATTTTCATAATGTAATAACTACCAGTTTAACTTACGTGTAATTAAATTACGTGTTAATTAAAGCAATTTATCTATTTAACTTGTTTTATGAACGTGATCATTTTATTTTAGATTATTTTTCTTTTCATGATATTGTACCACAATTTATATAGTACATACTCACCTGTAAGAATAAGTTCCTGCTGCACCATGATCATTTGTAAATGATAATATGGGTATTATGGGTCCTCCGTGTGGGTTGTAAGGGTAGTAGGGGTTCTTGTAACCTGGTGGGATAGTACTAGGTAGTAAGGGATAGGTAGTAGGTGTTACAGGCGGAATAATGCCACCAGCTGCTGCCGCGCCATATGGAGACTGCGTGGGCGTAATCGGTGACACGGACAAAGTGGATGATAGTGAACAGAAGAGCAACACGCAAAATATTGCACGATTCATCTGTGAAATGATATAGATAATTATAATTATTTTTTAATAAGTAAAGGCTATTGTTGAATAGTCACTACCGCGAGTCATACTGTGAATCATACTAGTCGGACAACACCGAAAATAAATACCTGAATAAAGCCAATATAAATAAAATTATAGCAAGTTTGAAACAGCTATTTTATTTATTTATATATAATGGAAAAACAACATAAATTTATTTATAACAAATTATCCATATAAAAAGCCAATAACAGGTTTTTATAGCGATATAAATTTGTCGTGGCTAGAGTAATTATAAAATTTAGAAGGAAATAAAAATAAAAAACTACACTATAGTATATCATAACAATAGTTACTAGATGTGTGTGTGTGTGTGTGTGTGTGTGTGTGGATGTGTGTGTGTGTGTGTGTGTGTGTTTGTGTGTGTGTGTGTGTGTGTGTGTGTGTGTGTGTGTGTGTGTGTGTGTGTGTGTGTGTGTGTGTGTGTGTGTGTATGTGTGAGCTCTTTAAATGGATATATGTATATATATGTTTCAATGGAAATGACAAAATAAAAATAGAGGTTTTGAAGAAATATTTCAGAAAGTTTTTTTTTATAAGTTTGTTTTGAAGAGTATGTAAAGATATCCACTTCTATAAAAAACTTATTATAAATTGACATTATACGTGCAAATATAGAGTTTCAGGTAGTCACCTTGCAGGTGTATTAACATTTGTGTAATCTACTGTAATAATAAAATAATTTAACAAATCAAAATACTATTCACATTATTAGCAAGTACAATAATTAGAGACGTTACATTTTATAAGTGACGATATAAATATAAGGAGGATTCAGCTAAAAATAACTAGCAAGAACCAAGTTAGCTATTTCAATCTCCAGATGAAAAGAAGTGAACATGCATGTGTAAGAAATGATAGTGTCACATAAATTTTACTATACTTCTGAATATATTATTGAACCCTGGACGAAAAATGGGAAAGTATTCATTTTTCTTTTGTCTATTTTAATTTCTATGGCATCATAATTGTCGTTCCAAATAAATTCAACTTATAAAAGCTATTAAGTGGTGTCAAACATATATATGTACAGACTAATCAATTTTTTTCTTTTTTATTTGCAAGTACTTTATACATTTTATAAATAAATAGTTATATTAAACTTTTATTAAATAAATTACTTATTATATTAAGCAATAACGAAATTTTTAATATAAATAATAATAATTTAAGCAACATAGATCCTCGCTACGTAACTGTCGGCATTTTATTATTAATTTTCGACTATTGCATTTTTATAAAACATAATATATTTTTACAATATACAGATAGTGTTATATTTTCTCAATTTATCTATGTAAATGGATCTAGATCAAAGTATTAATTATATTAATGTAATCTTAGAGAAAATAACTCTAATACTTAATTACTAACTCTTTACTTAATAAATTTAGAATATAAATCATATATATATTTACTCATTTGATTTTTTCAGAGATCAGATGTTGCATGATGATCTTAAATGAGTAATAGTGAGTGAATACATGTCATAAACAATATGATTATTTTCACCCATAAAATACGTATCCCCAAATATCAATAAGAAAATAATAAAGCCTTAACTTGTTATATTAGGAACATCTTTTGTTTAATTTAACTTATTACCTGTACTTTCTACGGTATGGTAGTCATTGCAAATCCAGAAAACTTAATTATAACATTAAAAGTAAATATATTTCTATCCTGTTTTTTTTTTCACAATCACGACACCTTAGCTTATAATCGTCACTTCTCATTTAACACTCATAATTATGTATTCTTTTACCTTATTATACTGCTTCTGCCAAACCCGACTGCACACGTTGTATTCAATGTGCTACTGTTAGCGTGAGATCCGAATATTCCATTTATAGGTAGCAGGGTTGCTTTGTGCAGATATTTTTTGTTATGCCATCGTTCAAACGTGAGCCTCATACACGACCCCTTTACTTTGTCATTAACCAACTTTACACATATTCAAAACTTGTACAACACGATCCATCGATGAGATGGGAACACTAACAATTCAACCGAAAATTACTGTAAATGCTACGCCGGTTCAACATATTATTCCCAATTACGTTGCAGAAACCTCTCTGTCGGTGGTCTATTACCATGATAGATAAATGGGGTTCCTAAGTACTTAGTACAAACATCTTTGTTAAGTTGCTTACTGACATTTCGACATGAACAGAATCATGTTATCTCTATTTGGTGAATTCGAACGAGAGCGATGTGGTATCAACACGTCCAATAATATTTCATGACTCATTACATTACCTGTATCATTTTGTAATCGTTTAAATATTTAGCAATACATATAGAAGACTAGACGGAAATTCCACAGCTCGCTCGCAGATCTCATAGTCACTCACTCCCGTAATGAAATAAAACAAAAACTATAAAATAACTAAAAAATAAAAAAAAATGTGATATTAGGTCTGCTTAGATTATAGCTTATACCAGACTCCTATTTAGATGATGATCATGAACATCTTTTTTTCTTATATATTCGGTTATTTCATAACATTGAGCATATAATGAAAAAAATTTATAAAATAAAAATAAAGTATAAATTAATGTGTTTGAAAACATCATGACATTGTCTAGTGTAAAGTATGAGTAGCCCCTACGGTGTCTATACACCAACGTCAAGAATTAGAATCAGGCCGATACCGAAAGTAACTCTCGATTAGTGAAAACATTATTAAGACACTACCTAATTAAAAAAACTGACCCTTTACCGTGGACTGTAGATTTTAATGTGGACATGTTGAAATTGCTATACTATATATAATTTATTACTTAAACTCTCCCCCTCTGGTAGCAATATATTCTATCAAATTAAGAAATTGTTATTAATTGGCAAATTCGTCACAATTTTTTTTCTTGTTAGGGAAACCAACGAGCAGTTAGTCCGCCTGATGGGAAGCGGCTATCGTCAGCCATGAATATTTGCAACATGAAGGTAGTTGCTTATACTTTGGCGACCTTTTAAATGTTTGTAGGTACGTTTTTTGAACTGTCCCATATTATATTGTAAGGGGAGAACTGCAGAAGAGAACTCACCTAACAACCCAGATGTACAAGGTAAAAACTAACGGGATGCATGTAGTGGTAGTGTGCTACGTACACAATAGGCCAATTGACTTCATCCTCCCCTATCATCTATTTCTAGTGCCCTCTTAGTTTATACTGATAGCATAGGCATGATTACCATTTCGTTTTTATCTATAACAAACCATTCTTAGAATTATAGCTGTGAACATATTTATTTATTTTATTTATCAACGTGCTTAATATCAGATAATATCCAAATATAGTGACAAAATATAATAGACTGAATTATTAGATAATGTAAAATATAGTTTGAAATGTCCAATGGTGCAAATTAAAAAAGATACCACTCAATTTATAAAAAATAGCAATCATAACAACAGAAATTGTTTCCCATTACGTCAATGATACAGAGGTCCATCTTACTCTGTTGTTTGTTGTCTATTTGTTTACCACTCTAAACCGTAAATAAAAAATAAAAATTGAAGTAAATAGAATAAAATGTGTTACCTAAAGCAGTGCTCTTGCACTATCATTTCTAAGAACAAAAGTGTTTTATTAGCTATTTAAATTAGCTAGCTTAAAAGTTTATTGTCACCTTATATAAAAAAAAATATCAAAATTAATTTTGTCTACTAAACAATGTAACAATGATTTCACTTAATCTCTCAATATTTATTAAAAAATAATTTTGTTTCAAACTGCTGTTTTATTTGCATCAGTAACTGAAATCTAATATGGCATCCACTGTCATTCATCATTCGTAAAGAAGGACAATAGCTTAGTTATCTCGACACTAACTAGTACAGAACTCAGATCGAAATCTAAAACATAATTAAACTTCACAGCAACTCCCTCATACTTAACACACATACTAATTTTAACTAGACACTGGTCTATTTGTATCATTACAAAGTCTTAATTGACTTTTTGTGTGTAAAATATTAATTAAGCTACATTATAACGGAGGGATTGCGTGTACCTGTTATTTTTTCTCAGCTGTGGTTTGTTATTATATGATAATAGAAAAACAATGTCAATTGTCCAAAGAAACGGTGTAGTTATGTTACTACATCATTATAAGGGCATTATATAAGAATATATTTTTATCATCATCATCATCATCATATCAGCCTTTAACTGGCCTCTGCTGAACAAAAGCCTCACCTTTGGGGAGGTTTTGCCAGTAGTTGTTTCATTTTTATTCCTATTTAAATTCAATAGTAAACTTCAATATAAAGTAATTATATCATTTTTATGTATATTTATAATAGGTTAGTTAGATACCTCTTAATATTTTTAACATTTTTTATGTTATTTATAAATTTGCAACAAGTTAATTAATATGTTGAAATAAAAAATAAATCAAAACAATTCTAGTTTACCTATGATGAATCCTATGATTTATATTGCAAAATTATAGCTTAGGTAACTTATTTATTCCAGTTCTATCATATAATATGTAAGTCATAAATCATAACACCCAAAGTACAAAGTTTACACAACATCTATTTTTCCCCACTTTTTTTGTCCTCTGGTCAATAAGAACCGATTAGATAATTAAATTAATATGTATTTTCTCAGATTTATATGCCGATATGAAAATTAATTCGCTCAAATTATTATACAAGTATATATTTACAATAATTAAATATATACATATATAATACTAGAATTTGGCCCGCTACTTCATACGCGTGGATTTCAGAAGTAGGAAAACTAATGAAATAAATCACTCCTAGATGACGTATCAAAATAATACCCACACTAATTTTTAAGTTCAGGAATAAGAACCATGAAAACAAAATTAAATTTGATGTATTACTTTATTCATAATACAAACATACAGACAGACAACACAATTTTTAAAAACGATTGTTTTGCCATCATTATTATTAAAGTCCCTAATATATTTTTTTGTTAAATATCTCTCATATACTTCGTCCAATTACAATTTTATTGTATTGGTGAAATTGCACTGCTGTATTATATATCTTGCACATATTTTGTACAACTTTTCTTATTCCTCATAACGATCCAAAATCGTCATGTTTCACAAATTGAATATAGTCTACTATTTCCTTCTCTATCTGAAGTACTACGTGAATAATATGCAGCTAAGAGAATTAAACTTATTTTTATGTGTTCAATTATATACATAGATTTGTTTACCATCAAAATTCAATTTTTATAACTTCGAGATAGCGATATAGATATAAATATGAATTTTCTTCTTCATTTCTTTTTTATCATAATTAATTCCTGGAAGATTATTTATAATTATTAAGAGTATAATTATCTTAATAATTAATTACCGCAAAAAGTGAAAAAAAAAGTAAAACTCGATTATTTCGGAACAAAAAAATTTAAATCTATTTGCACCGATGATATTTATCTTACCACTAGTTTTTAAAAGCCTTTTGCCTATATACTTCTCTATTCCATAAAGCACGTGTATACCAAATTTCATAATGATTGGTTGAGCCGTTAAAGCGCTATAAGGTAACACACAAACTCATTTTCACATTTATAACAATAATAAGAATTTTACCTATTTAGAAAATAATCTCCAGAATTGTATTTTTTTTTTCTTTGTAATCCTCTCACGTTAAATAAATTCTCAATCTTCAGAATATAAGTAAGACCTAGATGAGACATCAACATACAATCGAAGTAATATATGACCTTGAATCACCCCAAAGCTGTGAACATGATAGATATACACACGAAATAATTTAAACCAGATACATGGTTGGCATACCTAATTGTCACAAAATTATTAATATCAGCAGATTTAAATATAAATCTGATTATTTGACAACTATAAAGAAAATTAATTACCTGTGGATAAAACCACACCTCATTTCGTTATGTCATCGCTATGAGACAGGTATTTTTCATAGAATAATAAGAAAAAAAGTGTAAATTAATATGCAAATTATTACATTGTCATCTCATCATGCAAATTAAAATTAAATAATCGGTAAAAATACAATATACAAAGCTGACATCATAATATCAGCTTTTAAGATCTTAAAGTTATCGCATATAGCCATCATAAAGCTAGATTTTCTTTTTATACCTAATTAATTATTGATGAAAAAATACATTATTTTATAGATTAGCAATTTATTGCGACTTCGCCAGCATAGAAGCTACTTTATTCCCGTGAGATTATAGGGAATAATTCCCGTGGGAATTTCAGTAAATCTTTTTCTACTATATATGTACGTCTTAAAATGAATTAATATTCATAATTTTAAATTTCCAACCCTAATGTTTTAGACTTGTTGTCTACACAGAGTATTTTAATTCAGTTGATTTGCTGTTTAGCATAATTTCCTATAGTTTATAAGAGACAGAAATTAACACGGACATTTAGGTAAACAATGATCATTTACCCGAATTTTCTCGTCGTTTTGATCAGGTTACACCGGCCATCGCCGTCTCTTATAAACCAACGTAATATAAAAGTCTAAAAGTTAATAGTTTCCTACAGCTTATTTTTTTTATTATTTTTTTTTTCTATTCAACAAAAAATATGATGGAGTGAACCTATGATCACCCACAACACCAGCGGCATTGATAATATAATGGAAACCTAATAGAAACCTATAGGTATGCACAGGTACTCGTAAAGCCATTACAGAATATATAGTAAAGCCCATTACACTCGTTATGCATTGTCATTCTTGAAGACTAAGGTATAATAGTTATATCACTACCACCTATCACATGTGCGCTATAACAGCTACTATACAGCAGAAACAGCGCCAAACATGAAGAACTTTTAAAAGGATATCACTCAGAACATATATAAAAATTTATAAACACATGATATATCCTGTTCTCACAATTTAAGAACTATTTAGTATTCTATTTTTCTAATTATGTCATACGACATTATATTCAGAAGATGATTATATCATCAAAATATCAAATAACAATTATTATTGCAGAATTGTATTCATTATTGTTCGAACGAAGCTTATAATCACTATATTTTAAACAAGGTTGTTTTTTTAGATCCGCATAGTCAGTTTCCCACGGTCATAGATATTTCAAATCTAGTTTGATAAGTTATGAATTGAAATGTTATCTGATTATATACATCTAATACACGTGTCAGGGTGTTCTCGTAAGTAGAGTGTATAAGGTTAAGTACTTACATATAATACAAAAACTTAAGTTTTATTTGTAATACCTAAGTATATTAATAATATAATTATTGAGTACGCATTAATAGATATAATAAATTATTCTCAACAAACTTGTTTAAAATAGAGCAGAAACGTATTATTACTAAATAAACGTGTCCCGCCTTATTATTATAACATATTATTTTACTTATATATTACATACCCAGAGTCTAGCATCACTGCAAAAATAATACATGCGCAGTGTAAGGTACCTCTGGTTCAAATATCATGAAACTAAACATCATGAAAAAACCTACTAACCTGACCTTAATATATTATTTTATATCATAAGACGATTATACTTTATGAAAAAAAAACAATATCCATGCATAAAAATTTGCAATCACGGCACATACAAAAAGCACTTGATATTCCAGTTCAATACACCTATAATTTGTTTATTATGGCCTACGGAGAATTGTGATGCGCTACATCTACATGCGAAATGCTTTTTTTATTACATTAAACAATGTTAACTGCTCTTACAGGTGTGCCGTTAGACACCTACATATTCATTTTCTGTACTTTACTCCCATTGACATATTTTCTGTTCTAACACTACCTATGTTTGCAAACTCGTTCCAAGTTTTTTATTTATCATTATTATTATTAAAAAAAATCCATAATACCTACAGTTAAAGGAAGGCCATGTTTATTTTAGCAAATAGATACAAAACATGTATAGCTCTTAAACCAATAACATGTACATAAAGTCTTCCTTTCTTTATGATTTGATAAAGAGAAGTTTTTTTTAATGTCGCGTTTTCTTTCTTCTTGTAATTAATTACTTCTAACATACAATTTTTTTATTATTATTATAGCTTTTTTTATCCACTTCCGTGGTCCCCAAGGGTAAAAGCCTCCTCCATCTTTTTCCACTTCTCCTTGTCTATAGCAATACCTGTCCAGTTCTTTCCTGCTATCTTTATTATGTCATCTTCCCATCTCTTTCTTTGTCTTCCAACATTTCTTTTTCCTGCTGGACCTCGCCATTTTGTTGTTTGGAGAGTCCACCTTTTATCTTTGTACCTCACTATATGACCTGCCCATCTCCACTTCTGTTTCATACTATGCTGAAGAGCATCTTTTATTTTGGTTTTCTTCCTAATATCAGTGTTTCTTATTTTCTGTATTTTTCTTAACTTTAAGATACTTCTTTCCATCGCATGCTGACATGATAGGATTTTGTTCTTTATTTTTTCTGTATAGGTCCATGTTTGGCATGCATATGTTAGGCTTGGAAGGATGCAGGAATCCATAATTATCTTTTTTAAGTTGAGACTGTAGTTCCCTTTCAGGATTTCTTTTTGAGCCCAATATTTCTTCCATGTTATGTTTATTCTTCTATCAACTTCATTTTCTCCACTGTTCGTTTCGAAAGAGACCATTTTACCTAGGGACACATAACTATCCACATAATCTATAGGGTTCTCTTCTATTGTGATAATTTTTTTGCTGTGGTTTGTCATGATCTTTGTTTTGGTTGCATTCATATTTAGGCCAATTTTCTTACTTTCCAAATCTAGTTCTTGTAGCATTTTTTCTAGGTTGCTAACCGATTCGCTAAAAAGTACTATATCATCTGCGAAACATAAGTGTGTTAGTCTTTTGTTCAGTATCCATATACCCTCATGGCTCCAATCGATACTTTTAAAGATGTTGTTAAGTACTGCTATGAAAAGTTTTGGAGAAAATCTCCCTGTCTTACGCCTCTTCCAATTGTGAACTTTTCACCCTGCCTCTCCAGTTTGACTCTGCTTATACTATTAGAGTAAATATTTTTTATAATATTTATGTAGGTGCTGTTTATGTTATTGTCAGCCAAAGCATGCCATATGGATGAATGTGTAATGCTATCGAAGGCCTTGGAGTAGTCCACAAATGCTATGTAAAGTGATTTTTTAAATTCTTTGTACTTTTCTATTATCTGTTCTATTGTGTGGATGTGATCGATTGTAGAGTAATGTGGTCTGAATCCAGCCTGCTCTATTGGTTGATATTTGTCAATTTCTGTTGCTATTCTGCTCAAAATAATGGATGAAAAGAGTTTGTAAACTGTGGATAGTAAGCTGATAGGTCTGTAGTTGCCAATATCAAGCGGGTTGCCTTTCTTGTACAGCAGTATAATGTCAGATTCACACCATTGCTTTGGTACCACTTGCTTTTCCAAAACTAGGTTAAAAATTTTCACTATCTAACATACATACAAACCGTCATTTAATTTATAATATGTTTAAATATTATATTATTTATTTATTTAAACTTTAATAAACAGTATACTTCTATATCTGTTTGGCAAACTTAATTCCGGATGGTGTTTATTACCTGTCAATCATTGGGCAGACAGAGACACAGATGCATTCAAGATTATCATTATTATACTTTTAGATTTTCAAAATTATACTAAGAATTTACATTATAAATATGATATCATAGCAATTTAATATGTAATAAATATAGTGTAAAAAGTGTGTTTTGCCATGTGACCTCAGCAGAGAATAGGCCGCCCATTCCGTTCCTTTCGATGTCGTAAAAGGCGACTAAGGAAAATTAATGCTCGAAGGATGAGCAGTAGCGCCCCTCTTAAAACATCTCCAAGACCTAACAACGGTTGCCAACCCGCCGACCAAGCATGGTGACTGGTATGCTATAGTGTATAAAAACGATTCCTGTTAATAGCAAGTATTATTATAGTAAGATATATATAATAGTTGGAACAAAGTACAAAACTTAATGGACCCCAAATATCGTCAGTTCAAATATGACCGAGACCAAAAAACTTATAATTCAACTTCATATTAACTGTTCTGTGATGGTAAACACGGTTAATCTCAAAGATAGCAGGCTCAAACTCAATCATGTTATATTCCACCAGCTATAGCTATCGCCATTAAAGAATTTTATATTTAACATTGTAATAATTAAAATTCTAACTATACTTACAATATACAATTTCAAGATAATTCATAAAGAGAAACTTAAGTCTTTTTATAGAAAAATGTAGTATACGCAACTAATTAATAAATTATTTATAATAAAATAATAAAAGAAAATAATATCAAACAGATTTTTATTTCACTTTCATTATAAAACATATAAAAACATAAAAAATATGGCAGTGGATGTTATATTTAAAACAAAATATTTCATACAATATGCCTTGTTAAGTTTAAGGCAATTAATACTTGGTATTCGCAAATTCATCCGGTGATAGACCGAACTTATACATATACAATTGTTCGAGATCATCGATTATCAACTAATAGAACACTGTAGATAATCGAAATAACGTTCACTGTTCACTTTCTTGCAGGTTTTGGAATAGAATCCCCTTCGGCGTGGAAGCCGGTCTCGTCAGCGTAGTAGTTAACAGTCTCGGGCTTTCCTTCAGGGTTTGTGTATGTGTAGGATCCACGCACTACAACCACATTGTGAGGCTTGTTCTCTTCGTCTACAGCTTGCTTCAACTCTCCATTTTCGTTGCGAGAAATGCCATCCTCGGTTTCAAAGCTAGAAATAATTACATTTAGTGTAAATTATCTTATTAATATTATAAATGCGAAAGTTTGTAAAAATAGATGAATAGATGGATGTTACTCAAATACTATCAAACAGATTTGAATAAAACATGATAAACGGCTAAGTTATATCCTGACTCAGTACATACATGGTCCACATGGGATATAACTAGTCTATATAATTATTTGTATACTTTATATTTAGACTAGAATTAAAAATATAAGCATCAAACTCTACATTTATACACAGAAACATAGATTGAAATAGAACAAAAAATAGTGAATGCCCCATACCACAGATAATATAATACTATACTAGTAATACTTGATTGCAAAATGTGCCGTATTAGTGTAGAAGGAAATCTAAAAGATGTTAATGATTTTTATTTTTAACCTATAGTATAATATATATATTTGACAAATATATGACCTAGATATTATATACCTTTTGAATAGAGGTATTGTTTACAAAAATTTAGTAAAATTATATTGCTTTTGAAAATACAAATAATAATTAATACATAATAATGGATTATTCTTTTTAGAAATATTTGTTACTATTTTATAAAGTTTCTGTACAAATTTCACGTTAATGTTTATCTCAAGAAAGATACTTTGTTATATAATCTTTAGATATGTAAAGATAGATGAATTTTCATGATTAATAAATAGTAGACTATTAATAAATAGTACATTAATAACCTATTTATTTATATGAAATTAGTTTTAACTATATATATTACAAAACACGTCTTTTCTCTTCCTCTCATATGATATATACCAAAAATTCTGTCTGAGTCCTTAATTAATGCTAGAAATGATTCTTGTAAAATATCAAATCAAGTATCTAGCCTATTCTGAAATATTAGATAGCCTGTTTTTCCCTTCAGGAGGCTAAAATGAAGAAATATAAAAATATTTCTGCATTTTAATCCGTCCAAAATAAGAATCTATATCTTCAAAAGATGCATGACTATTATAGAAAAGAGGCCACAGAAGTATCCCTCGATCTCATTAATCTGTACGAAGAACATGGAAATATATAACAAGTTATGATTACATACTTGAACGAGTATCCACCCTCAGGTTCCTGGTCAAAGTTGCTGCGCAAGATCTTCGGTGGCTCCGGAGGAGCGGCGATAGCTACTGCCACCAGAGCGAACAGAACTACGATCTGTAATTAATTCCTAATTAATATTTTGCGATTTACATAAAATTCTTATTTATGACACTAAATAATTTGTATTGGAAATATTAACACTCAAATATAAAAGAAAGTAAAAATTTTCAATTAAATAATAACTACAAAAATAATTAAACATATTTTCACGTATTTAATCCAATTGTATTTATTTAATCCAATTATATTTAATCCAGGAAATAAAAATAATGTGACACAAACTAATTGAACACAGTAATTGAAACGTATTGCAAATTGTGCATTAAAAACAAAATTAATAGAACGTACAAGTTTCATTTTGATTTTTGGTTTGATTTCCTGGCTACCAAATGAGCAACTGATGGATCTCTGATCAAAACTGAATCTTTTATACATTTCTTCAGCATCTAACGTAATGTCAAGTGAGAACAAACATACGATGTCGATATACCGGCTCCCGTCATTTAGTCATTAGTGATCACCTTAGCAACGTCTGTAATGTAAGCAATAATAGACATTAAATACAGGTTCACAGGTATCTACTTGGCCAAATCTGTTCTTTTTGAATTCCATTAATAAGGATATATTTTACACGTGTGACACATATATTTTTAAAGTAAAAAAACTACTATATATATGCAGGTTGCGTAGAACATCAACCATCTTTATTAATAGATACTCCTGACCTCCTCTTGTTTATTATTATTAGTGATATACACTTATTAGTAATATTGTAATATATTCGTAGTTATTAGCGAGCAGTCAATTTTCTTTGAAGATTGCTAAGCTTTCATAGTTAACAAACAATTTCCTCTTCTACTAACTACTAATTAGATACTAAACAATTTGATAATTAAGTTCCATAGTCGTAAACTAATGAATCAAAGTTTAACTTCGTTTTCTTTTTTATCATAATTTGATAAGTTAAGTTTATAATTAAATTCTTTAGCTAAAAAAAATTACAAACATCAAAAAAGATTTATCACAATCATATACAAACTCATTAACTAATTACATAAATCAAGCACGATTATCCAGACACATCGTATTATTTAAAATGTATATAAATACGCCTGTCGCTAAGTATCGCTTTATTACAAGCTCTAAATTGTAACGTTAACCTCTAAATATACATAGACATGAGGCAACAGACCATCGACCTTGTAAATTGTCCATAGAAAAGAACATAATATAGAATGTTTTATGAGCACAATTATTGCTTAAAGAAAGCACAGATAAACGTAAACTCAATTAAACTAAAACTAAATTGCAAAACTGTAACTAAATATTCTGCGTCTATAAATAAAAAATACATATACGTACACTAGTTAAAAATATATATAAGAATGGGTTATCTGAAAACATGATAATGCTCTAAATCAGTCGAATAAAAGAAGCGTTTAAAAGGTCCGATTGGCTCCAATCATTTAATCATTAAATTTTTGAACAAAAATCTTTAACAATCATATTTGCATTGTTTAGAAAACGAATAGTAAGTTTTCTTTCTATACGTGTAACGGAAATTTTATGTATGTACTACGTTTGTCGTTTCTGACAATTATTTTAAACAAACAACAGTCATAGCAAGTTCTTAAAATTCCCGTTACTTTTCCACGTCACGCCTTTAAACATATGTCTAATTATTATTATAAAATAAGTTTCTTGTATTATCCGTCTCTTTCTCCACTTACTTCTAAAGTATATAACAGTTTTTAATAAGTACTTCACTGACATTTAAATATATATTTATATATATATATTTACAGAGTACCGCCCGCACATAACCGTCATAGCCATCCATAATTAAAGCAGCTTGCTAAATATTTTATAAGTACGTTCTATTATTTCATTATCGAATCTCGTTTAGATTAAATTAAAGAACATACTTCTCTCATAACACCAGGTATACTACCTTAAAACCTAAGTGCTAAAGTTATCTTTTTTTTTATTATTATTGCTATAAAGAGGTATCAAAATAGATTCTCAATGATTAACGCGATTACGCAAATGATTCCAGCAAGCACCCATATGTAACTAACGATAATAATAAAAAGCTTAAAGATCTGTCCTTAATTGATAGGTATTCACTTAATTATATACATATATCTACCTATACCTAAAAAATAGTCCGATTTATAATGACAGTGTTGTTTAATTTTTTGTTCTTTATTAATAAGGAAGATATCTATGTTACCTACTGATCTTTTCCTGTTCTATCTAGATACATAAAGCAGGAAAACTTTATAGTAAACTGAACAATTCTCGAACATTTGAATTATAGGTTCTGTATAAAGTCCTTAGCTCTAAGAATTATTCTTTCAACACAATACTTAACTGTGCCAAAATTTTATTAAATGGTTAATAATGTAATGGTAACCTCGCCTACGCTATCGGTAACGCTGACGTAACATTAGTGAGAGAGGGATGATGGGTGAAGATGAAAGCTGGTCAGTTAGCCCATCGTGACGAATTCTACAAGATTTAACCACAATGGTTTCCTGGGGAAACCGCATGGAGGTCGACATTATAAAGTATATTGCTAGCAGTGTGTCTGTTTAACCCCATAACAACAATTCCTTTCCCTTCCGCGCCAAAGAGATTAGCTACTTATTTACTGGTCTGGAAAATCATTCTTAAATCTAAGTGCATTTTACATTTTCAGGAAATACTGGGATACCTAATCTTAGTAGTAAACAAGTTATTTATAATTTACTTGTATTTTAATTGCCAAATACAAAAAATTAAATTTTTATTCAATTCTAAATCAATTTTAATGATTTCAAAAATAATCATCACAACACAGTTCTACAATTTATAAGTCACTAATTTTAAAAATCATCACAATCTGTTAAAATGACAAAATATTAAACATTTGAAAGTTTATAAAATCTGGATTTAGTTTACATAACATGTCTATTTTAGATGTCATATCTACTAAACCTTCACACTGAACTAATACTATAAATATATATGTAATTGTGAAATAATTATGCATAATGGCTACATAACATTGACATTGAAATTCCCCGACGCATCTATGGTTAAAAAATAGTCGTATTTCACATAATATATTGAATATTTTAAATATCAGTGGACATCAACATATTCATATGTCGAATATAAATATATGTTATATGTAAACTATACTAAACATAATAGTACCTATTGTTTTAAATGTTTACATAACATTTCTAAGAGTTAAGTTAGTGATGACGAATTTTTGTTACAATAATAAACTTTAGACTTTAAACTTCGTGTTCCAAAATGCTAAAATTATATACTAGTATTTTTATATAAACATGGGTTACACTTGAAAATAGACTATCCGATGCCAGTTTACCTTTTTTTATATAACTTAGAATGTCAAACAAGCTGACGGCCCACCTGATGGAAAGTGGTAACCGTCGCCTATAGATATGAGTAGTACCTACAAGTATCTCAAACCGTGAAGGTCCTAAGACTAAACTACAAAGTTCTAAAGCAAGACCGGGGAAACACAAAAGTATATGTAATAATAAGTATGACATATTGTGACCTGACTCCAAATGCTTCCTATCAGGTCGACTTCCCCGTAGTCCCCCTGGGTACCATCGTGCTGAATTCTCGGTTTATTCATCACGATGAACTAACTGATCTGTCCTTTCATTCTCACCTATCATTCCTCACTGATGCCCCGCCAGCGTATACTGTTAGCACAGGCAGGGTTATCTTTCCATTATCATCCATTAAAAATATCCCATATGCAAATGTAAGATACCTACTTTTGAAATCAAATCCGCTAGTAATTTTATTGAATTGCAATACTAGTAACATATTGGTTTCTTTTGCATTTTCTTTAAAGGAACAAAAAGGAAAGGAAGGAAAGGAATTTGTAATTAATTTATTCGGTACCCGTTACACTAATTAGACATGATACTGCGATACCAATTCTAACCCAAATTCTAATTGTCTTTTTTAAAGATAACAGTATGAAATCTAAGAGCATCTAAACAAAATTTATGTTATTTATATTCCTCCAATAATCTGACAATTATTATTAGACAAAATTAAAGGTTTTGTTTTACAAAACATTACTTCAATGACAACAAATATAATATTGGACTAATAAGGGAGAAACCCTACTGATTTAAAAAAAAAATCACCTAAATCAATCCCTTAGGTTATAATTGGCATGAATATTGCATAACATACCAACATACAAAAATATATTATTGTATTAGGATTAAATTCTCCTCCTTTTAATAGAAAAACCAGTTAATTTATATCAAAATTTATTTACATTCCGATTTCGTAAAAAAAAACTTAACAAAATATTGACATACATAAACGTAAAAAATATGGCAGTGTGCATCTGTTATAATAATAACAAGCAACAATATGCGGCGGATGCATCGACGCACATACTTGGCATTAGTACTTATATCTATCAGCCTTAGCCAATAGACTATTTGGCATAATCCATTATTCAAGACTGTAATTTCGAATAATCGATTATGTCATAAACAATAGATGTCGCTTTTTACTTTCTTGCAGGTTTCGGGATGGAGGCCCCTTCGGCGTGGAAGCCGGTTTCATCAGCGTAGTAGTTCACAGTCTCGGGTTTTCCTTCAGGGTCCGTGTAGGTGTAGGATCCACGCACTATGACAACATCACGCGGCTTATTCTCCTCATCAAGAACTTGTTTCACCTCGCCGTTCTCGTTACGAGTAATGCCATCTTCGGTTTCAAAACTGAAAACAATTGGAGAATTTTATTAATTTATCAAACTTAGATGGGGCAGTAGGTATATTAACATTATCATAGTGAATCACACTTGACGTGCCTACAATTTCTCGAACACAGATATATTGAAAAAACATTAGAATAAATTAATTTTGATTCCTAGTTTTTACTCCAAATTTTAGTAAGCTGGCATAGAAAAATTAAAAATATCTAGAAATGAAATATTAATTTCATTCCATATTTTCTAAGAAGTCACTGACAAGTCTAGTATGTATTATATAAAAAAAACTGTCCACTAAGAATAGAATAGAATGTAATAGAATGGAACCACATCTCTAGTAAATTAATTCGACATACTACATTAATACATACCTGAATACATATCCTCCTTGAGGCTCCTGGTTGAAGTCGCTGCGTAGGATCTTTGGTGGCTCTGGGGGGGCTGCGACAGCTACTGCCACCAGGGCGAACACAACTACGATCTGCAATTATTTCACAATTATTTAATGACAGTAAACATATAAACTTTTGAATGTTAGCACTTTGATATGTAAACACTTGTTTAATTTAGCCTTAATTACAAACACATTTTCACTTATTAAATCTAAATATGGAATAAAAGGATCTACAATAAATATTTGCAAATATCTATATTAAAAACAGAGACGTACGAGTTTCATTTTATTTTTTGGTTTGGTTTCTTGGCTACCTGATGAGCAACTGATGGTTACTCGCTCAAGTCAAAATCTTTTATACATTTCTCCGGCATCTAACGTAATGTCAAGCGAGAACAAACATACGATGTCGATATACCGGCTCGTCGGATTCGGTCATCGATGATCACAAGCGTATGCTTGTGCGTTATGTGCCTACACGTATATTACGGATATTCCTAGTCGTATGGTTACATGTGTGCGTATACGCAACCGTTCTGAAGGTTCTACTCACAATAATTTACTTAATAATTTGTCACAAAATTATAATACGGTAGGTATTAGGTCAAGGGTAAAGGCCCATCTTACATAAGTAATTATATACATATACATACAAATATAAAAGTGCGTGTATGTATGTATATTTATTTATTTTTAACAAATTTAATTTAAAAACATGTATAAAATTTTAATAGGGACTATTGGCATAATGTGATAAGTACATAATAAATACAGTAAGTCTATTTCTTTAAACTTTTAATGGAAAAATACATACAGTAAAACGGACTCAATATTCCGCAATCCTATAGTTGTGTATATAAAATCATGGCTAATATTATCAAATAGTACCCAAAAGCTCTCAAGATTTCTGGTAAATTCACAGGTTTTACGGAATGATCCTGACATTTCCATGGATTTGTGCGCATTGGTAGGCAACGGCAACGCATTTTAGCATTACGTAGTTTTCTCCGTCAGAATTCTTTGGCATCACCACTAGCAATATATGATATGATACCTATTTACCGTTGCTAAAAATATACCTTATCAAGTCTACCTCCACGCCATCCCCCCTGAAAATCAATGTGATTTATTCTTGATGAATTCGTTACTATGTACCTACTGAACTGACTTCGTGCACATGATTCGTCGCTGGTACTTCGCCAGCGTATACCGATAGCTCAGGTAGAGTTACTTTTTTATTTCCATCTTATAAAAAACCACACCATCCTCATCATAAAGGGCTATCAGTGATGTCTAATATTGTGCAAGTATTTATTTAACAGACTTGCTTGGCCTGTTTATAATTTGCACATTCGTTAAGACAAACTTAATATGCTAAAATATCGTTACTATGGACATATAATTCCTTAATTAATAAATTATTATTATAAAATATTTAAAATATTTAATTTATTTGAAATATAATAATTATTATTATAAAATACCTTAGATATATGGGAAATTCTAATCCAATTGATTTTAATTATTGTCTGTTTGTTTGTCATCAAACTTCGGTACGGCTTTATTTACTTAGATAACAAATTAAAGAACATACGTTAATGTTTTATTTAGTCTTATTGTCCAAATTAAAAACTATATTATTTTATATAAATTACCTTAAACTGAACTAAAACGTTGGGATCGTGTGAAGCCACAGGCAATACCTAGTAGCTTACTTACCTACTTTAACAGACACGGAAGGGCATAAAGACAGACAAGATATAGCATGGATGCATTAATTGGTTAACAGCTCTGGCTGCCCTCCAACATGTTATCTTTATAAGGTATTAATGCCCAAAGATTTAACCTATCTTCATCGATAAATATTTAAAGGTTTTTTACTTATATCCATATTTTTATAAAGAATATTAAATTATAATTTTAAATTTCTCTTCTTTTTTCCTCGAATCGATCTCGAGTCACCAGTAGTCAAATATATTGTCGCTTATGCAGTCATTAATTAATATAAAAATAATAAAATAACTTCTTCTTACACAGATCTCAAATAACCGGCATATCTGACTCCTCTTTCTTGCATATCATCTTTCACACAGTTCATCCACCTTTTCTTCGATCTTCCAGGGGTATGATCAAAGAAAAGGGAGATGAACTGTATGGAAGGAGAGCCTTTACGTCCATCCACTTTCATATTTAACACCTTTAGAACATAATTTCATTCCACCGTCCACTGTGAAGTTACTTGTTTACGTGTGAAGGTTATCTGGTTCATTTTCAGTGTGAAGGTTATCTAGTTTGATTTTGTCACTAAAAAGAATTATCTTTCTCCTTTACGTTTTAATCTTACACTAATTCTATTTTTATGTTGTTGTAGTTCATCTGATGCTTTAACTCATCTGTTTTATTTGCTAAACATTCTATATCATCGACATAAACAGCTTCAGCGATCTGGTCAATATTTTGACCATTTTATGACATTTTATACTTACCTATTATTATTTATGCGTTTGGTAGTTTTAACTTACTACAATTTTAGTAAACAATCTGAAAATATTTTTCCTATCTACCCGAATAATATAAGTTTGAAATAAAAATCTTCATAACCGCAGCTATACGCCATTATGTATCTAAAATATATACGTATTGTACCTAATTATAAAAATTTAGATTTGAAGCACGTATTTAGGAATTCCCCTACTTATTATTTTGCAGTTAATTTTTTTATAAGTCTTTTAAAATATTTCGTGAAACGTTTGCTATTCTCATTTTTTTATTCATGTAATGCATACGATAAACTTTGAACTTTCAATATTTACCTGGCACTATATACCATCTACAAGTTATAAAAGGTCATTTTTTTGTTAAATTTGTCATTAATACTGCAAAATGCCAGGACTTCTTCATAAATCATTCCTCACTTCATCAGAGAGTAGGTACATAGAAATATTGGTTTTACGAAACAAAGTACTAGTACACAGATATAGATTTTTTATTATTCAATAAAGCACCACCTATCCTTATATTATACTGAAATTAAGTAATCCAAAGCTAACTGACCTCTGATATTTATTGAGACCCACATTCAATTACCTTCACATTTTTACACACTCAACATATTCATCAAATACGCACACATACGCACACAAATTTGTCAATACCCTATTGGTTGGTAATCTTCCATATAACTCGATTAAATACATATTAAATAATTAATCAAAATGTATTAAATTTAATAACGATTAATACACAGCATACATACCTACTTAGACACTTACTGTTACCAACTTTACACAAACAAATGAAGTATCATGAAACATTAGCAAAACATAATTTTAATGATTACTAAGATTTAAAAAATAATTTGTATCGTCATTAAGTACCTATCTTTACCTATAGATAAACCTTCTGCACATGTGTATTCTATTGTGTCTAATAATATTAATATTTTTAATTACTTAAATCAACGAATAGTCCATGACTAAATTATTTTATTTACTTGAATTTACTCTGTTTAGGCAACCCTAGGTTGCGGCTAATTGAGAACAAGCCACCCAGGTGCATTTTATCTATTTTTTTGTTAATTGGTAAAAATTAAAAAGTAACCCCGCTTGCGCTATCGGTTTATACTAACGGGCACTAGTGAGGAATGACAGGTGAAGATAAAGCAAGTCAGTTAGTCTATCATGACGAATTTAACAATTAGTAACAATGGTCTCAATGGGGAATCGTGTGGAGGTCGACCTGATAGGGTATATTGCTAGCAATGGGATAGTTTAATCCTATTACTAACAATCTCCTTCTTCCCCCCACCTCAGTAGATGCTATATAGATAGTGGATATAGTAAACTGTTAGTACCTACAGTTAAATAAATTTGATATAAGATATAATTATTTTTATTACTGTGAACAACGGTAAACGTCCCTAATCTGTACAAAAGTAGGTCATGGAAATACATGGAATAAAACTTTACGTACCTGCGTACCGTATTTATCCTGATCGATTGCCTAATCTGCACTTGAATACATAGTACTTATCCAAGTGCCTAATAGTCTATTCTAAATAAATTACAATAATTTTATAGCTTTGACGACCTTGTTTGTGTACATCCAAATGAACAGACAACGTTGACTATATAGAACTGTTTTATTATTTCTTTTACAAATTATTGTTTATATTTATATATATTTAATATAAACACCCACGTATATAATAAAATCAAAGCTACAAAGACTGAACTATTTATGCAATAAATATTTTTTCCTAATCTATACATAGACATAGAATCCAAATATTATTTTAAGAGTGTCGTACCTAATCTGTGTGACTTTGTTTCTCCGTCACAACGCTGTAACTTAGAAATGATTAACGCTATCGATTTAAAATTTGGAATATTCTTAACCTTATTTCAAAAGAAATAATTGAAAAAATATTATTATTGTCTTGCTAGTAGTCTATCCCTCGCAAAAAATAAAAATATTTTTAATGAACAAAAGAGTACTCTTTCAAATAATACTATTATATATAAGATCTTTATTGGCGCTTCTAAATGTGATTTTTAGAAAGGTTATTTTTTTATAAAACATCTTAACCTACAGATACTTTATAAGCCTAGATACGAAAATAGTTTTTGATAATACTGAATCAAAAACGTGACCCAAAAAATATTTTTAATAAATTTAGAAAGGAAAATATTCTTTCTTGTTTCTATCGATGTTAGTTTTTTTTTTTATATTACATGACATCTTCATCAATTGTGAATCAAACATGTGTCCTCAGTCGTGGGCGCGGTTGCGTGATTACCGCATTCCGTGTCTCAAAACACTAAAACCAGACCTGTTATCCAAAGAAGCTCAACACATAATGATAGACTAACGTATATTCTGATTTATGATTGCATTGAAAAATCACCTAGCAAATTTGAATACCTATCACTTATATAAAAGAAACTTGACATAAAGCTGCCAGAGTCAGATTAAGCACGAAAATGCGCACATATACTCGTATCACCGTATAGGTAGGTAATTAATTAATGCAATTTACATCTCTTAAATACAAAACAAGACTAGTTAATTCAAAAACACGAAAAGGTCAGCAAGTACAAATAAAATCAATATTATACATAATATAGGCATTCGTGTGCCTAATACGCCGATTGCGTATTAATCCATATACATAGTTAAAATATAAAAATAATGTAGAAATTCAAACGACATTAAAATATCGCCTCTTAAACTCTGGAAATTGTTTCAAATAAGAAAAAATAAACTACCTATGTCTAGAAGCGTCTTACGTTTCTATGCCGCCGTATCGCAATAAAAGTGATGTGCCTTTTCGATGACCTTTCAGGTCCGGTCCATAGTGAAAATATAGAATTCAAGGTTACTTTTTTTATAATAAATACAAGTAGGTACATATGTAATATAAGCGAC